AATATAATTACGAATTTATTTGCATTTGAAATTATTCAACTGTATAGAAAACACTAAAAAATAACATTTATATTTTTGAATGTTTTATTTATGAATATTTAAAAATAAAACAACAATTTAATGGTTAAAAATGAAAAGAAAAGACGATTCTAAACTAAAGAGTGGGATCATTTTTCACGGTGTAGATATTTATTTAAAGAGAGAGTAAGATCCCTTGTCAATTACTGACGTGAAGTATTTCTTTTTTGTTTTTCTTATCAGAATCGAATAGGAAGTACAATTCTCATCAATGGGATGATCTGATCTGATCTGAGTATATGGGGAGACATATATCTGATTCGGATATATCTGACAAGGAAATGGACAGTCATGGTTTGGTGACCCATGTTGCTTGGTTAGTGTGACACGTATGAGGGGTGGGGACATAAATTTAGAGTACACGTGAAGTAATTGGAAATGGTTGGATGAGAAAATAAGAAAGAGTTCACGCAAATATGCAGTCCAGGAAAGAAGGCAATCCGAAAAGAAAATATTGGTAAAGTAAGAAAGTAAAAGAAGTAGGTAAGATGGTTAAGGGTACCTGAAAGCGCCAAAGAAGGTCACCGCAGGGCTTGAACTTGAAGCGGTTGTTATAGAAATTCTGACGAGCTGCTTCAACCTCGGCTCGTTCTTCAGGAGTACCTCCCTCTGGATCAAACTCCCATGTCTGTCTCCCCACAAAATTGTTTGTGCTGAATATGTATGGGTCCTTTCCACCATCTGCTATCTTCAGCCTCCACATCTTTAATTAATTAACTAATCAATTCAATTCAATTCAATTCCTCCACCGACCTTGTCAACTCATGCTCAATCAATACACACAAACTGCACCTAACATTATTCTACTCATATAAGGGGTGCCGGAAATACCAACAATCCTCAGATTAATTTCTGTATTCTGATCGATCTTCTTCAACCTCACTCTCACTCTCACTCTCACTCTCACTCTCCTCTCTCGACAAACACTACACCGACACTGCCCAATACACAAGAAACGTCACATGAGGAGAAAGCCATTCCAATTGCATCCTCCAATACCGTTATTTATATTAGCTAAATTCTAAGCAGGCAACAACTATTGAAAAATAAAAGTATTTTATCTATTTTAAAATAATAAAATATTTTTTAATATTTATATTGGTTTCAAGGTGTAACATTGTGATTTTACGAATTTTCTTCTTCTAGGGTTTTTATATCCTGATATTTGAATATTTTAAAATTAATACTTTACCTAACATTACACATAATAGTTTTTATTTTATATATATGTCTATCTACCTTAAAAACATTTTGTACCCCAGCAAAAACACTTCCCGTAGGTCTACGTCTAGCCATCGCTCGAACAAGACAACTCAAAGCGTCCTATGTAGCGTTGTCATTCGCTCATTCAATGCAATTTACGTATACCATACAACGCAAACTAACTAATCGTTTCCTTGCATTAGTTAAGAAAAAGTTGGATCATTTTAATAAATAGTTATATTTATAATTAAATATTGTGATAATTAATTACAATTTAAATAAAATCGATTTAAATATAGTCTATTCTATTTGAATTCTATAAAACAATCACTCATTTTAAGGATGGAATAAATAGTAAAATATAACTAAAAGTAGGCTGATAGCTTTTAAGTTTTTTAACATAATCACACAAAAAAATCCAATCCATACACGTGCTAAATATACTAACAAATAAGTTTTACGTGTTTCATAATTACTTTCCTATTTTGAAATCCTTCTTTTAAAACATTGCAAGTGTTTCCTTTTAAAACATTTATTTTGTTTTGGGGAGTGGTGATTGCATTTTGCAGTTGCATATTAAAAATATTCTTCCATTGAAATGCCCGTCATTATCCTCTTAATCATATTTTTAGCCAAAAAAACTAGATGCTTGCAAAAGTTAGTAATTTAATTAAAACTGTAAGCAGCAAAATTAAAAAGTGAAATAGAAGATATGTGAACAAGAATGCGAATCCAATCATTTTATTGCAGAGGGGAATGCAATTTAACTGCATTACTTTGATTATAATATTTGCAGCGAGTATAGCGTGGAAACCAGGGTATAATTTATTTTAAAGTAAAAAATAGAACACGAGGGTAGCGTGGTCAACGAACAGAGGAGGGTTGCAAATAACAAATTAAGAATAACTCAGCAGCAGCAGCAGTAGGCGACCGCTTGCCAGTAATATTATTTAAAAATATTTTAAATAATATTTTTTCAAAAAAATATGTTTAAATAATAAAATTTATTATATTTTTTACAACTTTTTTTATTATTATTATTAAATCGTGTCAGCAAGCATCACATGAGAATGATTTAAAAAAAGATAAATATTACTAAAAATTAAAATAAGTTGTAAAAAATATAATAATTTTTCTGAAATTGTTTGACAAAATTTAAATGTAATACATAAATGCTTTTGGTAGTATTATTTAGATTAAGATTAGAGTTTTACATTAATAATATGTAATAATATCAAATGTAACTTTTTAATTAAAATAATTTTTTAATTTTAATTGATACATAATACTTAAAGAATAACATATAAAAGTTTTCTATCCTCCTCTTTTTTTTTTATTATTATTATTAAATAGAGTTGGCAAGAATTAAAATTAAAACTAACAAGAATAAAATGATAGTGTGCTCAAGCTTAATGCTTAGACTGAGGTTTCTCTATCTAAATATCTTCTATTAGTTTTTCATTATGTTGCAATAGCTTCTACACGTGGATTAATTTCGTTGTTCAATGGGGTTTGACAAAATACGTAAACTTGAATAGATACTCCAAATGGATATAAATAAATAATAATAAAAAAAAGTTTTAAATTTAAAATTCAAAGTCTGTTATTTAATAGAGAGAGATTTCTTAACTATCCCTTGCCCAAGGTATTATTTTCAATTCTTGCTTGGTTCAAGTAATTTCGCAAAATGTGTACCTTTCTTTTATTTGAAGAAAAACCACTTCATTCATATTATTCCTAAGTTAGTTTATAATCACTTCATTTTAAAATGATTTTTATGTAATTTAATTCAATATGTCTCGTCATAATCAATGCAATTCATTAGTTATTAAATACAATTCTCTTCTATAAACTGTAGGTGCAGTTAGTGTAGCGAAAATACAAAAATAACACTGGACCCTAAAGTTAGCCAAAAAAATAAGGGGATCCGGATTTTCACTTATTACACGTAAGCAACATGTAATAATAATATAGTTTTAAAAAATCCGTAGTTATTTCAATTACTTTTTCTAGTTTTTCATATTAAATGTTTTGAACAATATATAAATATTTAAATTTGTAAAATTATGCTTGGTTGAAGTAATTTCGTAAAATATGTATTTTTTACTCATTTGTAAAAGAGAAATTACTTGTTTTATATTATTCTTAAGTTAGTTTATATATATTAAATAAGATCTATTGACACTAGGTGTGTAGGTCTTATAAATCAAATAATTTAACTGTTAAAAAGTTATCTAAATATATATATATATATATATATATAATAATAATAAAAAATAATTTTTAAAAAAATTATTTAATTTGTATGATTGAGATTTATTATAAAATTTTTAGATTTACACCTGTTATGAATGAAAGAATTCAAATCCTCAGTTCCTCACTTATTATACGTAAGCAATGTGTAATAATAATATAGTTTAGTAAAATATATAGTTATTTCAATTATTTGTTTAGTTTTTTACATTGAATGTTTTGAATAATATATAGATATTCAAATATTTAAAAATATCTTCACTTCTTTTATTTTTTTTCTTTCTTTTTTATGGTTAGAAAGAAAAAAAGACACTACATTTTGAAAAGAAAGAAATTAAAAAGATGCATATTTTATTTAAAGGTAATAATAATATAATTTAAGATTTCTATTGATTGAAAGGAACAAAATATTAACCACAATAAGATTATTAACTCTTCAATGATCAAATTTTTTAGGAAAGAATGTGGAAAGAATGAAAATAAAGTTACATATTTTATTTCAAGTAAATATTATCTAATCAAAGAATTTTCTTGAATAAAATAAATAAATAATAAAATATCATTAAGCATTTCTCTATGAACTTATTGCTTTTATTTTTCTTGACTATTTTTCAGTACTAAATAAAAGAATTTTGTAAAAAAAAAATAGTAACTATGATATTCCCATCACATGTTTGGGTAAGCCTGTTCAGTATTCTGTCATTATTTATCCAAACTAGTGGTTATCTTTTTGGTAAGTTAGGAGCATATTAATTGCCCTAGTTTGAAGTTATTGACTTAGTTGATCTGGTTTTTCATCTTGAATGTTCGAAACCGCGTGCGCATGCATGTACATGGACTAAAGATGGATATTCAAATTCTCATTTTTAGAATATAATTTTTTGGGAGGGATGAAATAAATTATACATATTTTCTCCCAAGTAAAAGCTATCTAATATTTATCATTCAAGTTTTAAAATTTTCTTTATCAATGTTTTTTCATTTGCTGAAAGCAATTTTATTTGACACTCAAGAACATCTGCTGCATGTTTTCGATCGTTATCAACTTTAAAATACATATGGTCATTTATTTTAAAAAAATAAAAATTAAGTAAATGTTATTTATATAAAACGATAATAAATAACACTACAATTTTGAAGTAGCTATAACAAATTAAATTATAATTATCTAGGTTATAAAATTCATGTTTTAATTGCACTGTTTCTATATTCCATGGCCTTTCAATGGGTTCAGGTCGTCACCCTCCTCCTCCACAAAGAAATCTTTAGACAATTCAAAATACTAAACTGAAACTTTAAATAAACACAAAGAACTAAAAGAATAATTTTGTTAAAAAATATAAAAAAAAAAATGATGAATTTGCATGTACAACCTAAAACTACTTTTAAGGAAGCAAAAATGGAGAAAGCATTGAGTGAGTGAAATTTCTAGGAATTAAAGAAGACCTAAGGGTTGAGAAGAAGGGTCAAAGAGTGGATGGATCATCATCATCATAATCATCATCCATCCGACCAAGATCCTCTCTGAGTGTCATACTGGAACTTTGAATCAATCGCTCCAAGGCCTGAACTACCTTTGACACAGCTGGCCGAAATTCGGGCTCAGACTGATAGAAAGAAGCATGCATAGATGTTAATGTTAGTGTGATCAAGTAGATTAATGATTATATATGAAGATGCAAATGGAAATGCAATACTGATTTTGGTATTTAAGTCACCTGGACAGAGAGGGCGATGATATCAGCAAATCGGAACAGTGACTTGGGTGGGTAAAGTCCCCGGAGGGCAGGGTCCACAATATTTTCCACTGCATTAATGTCCCGAAGCTGTGGGGTGGCCCAACGAACCAGACACCGTTCTGCTTTTGGTTTTGAACTGAAGACAAATAAATCAAACTTAGCTAATATGCCATATATTAATTGCACTATAAAAATTATAAAATCCACATAATGCACCTGTCTAATGGCATTCGACCTGTCAAAAGTTCCAGCATCACTACCCCAAAACTGTATACATCACTCTTCAGCGTATACGCAGATGGTTGTGTGCATTCTGGTGCATTATATCCTGCCCCAAGATTTTGGCTCGTCCGCTGCAAAGAACCAAAACCTTGGAGTTTTTATCAAAATCACAACATAAGATCCCAAAAGCAGTTCCAATTTTCTGTATAATTTATAACGCCCTTTCACATTAAATACGGGAATTGGACATGTTCATTAGGTATTTTAGATGCAAAATATCACACAACCAAAAGTGAGACCCTTCTCAATTTCGTTCTCTGATTTTCCCTCTTTGAAGAAATTTCATTTTACATCTTGTATGATTATGTTTTCTTTGAGATCATTAATTGTTTCCTTAGTTTTAGTTTTCATATGACTCATTCATCCCAACCTAAGCAGCAACGTAAGCAGGACACTAGAGAGAGGAAGTTATGACTTGAAAACTATATTTATCTTATTATTAGGAACCAAGAAAGCAAAATATACCTGCACCTCTTTAATGTTAAATTTTTGTTTAATAAAAGAAGAAAATACAATTTTAATGCTTGGACTCTTTTTTAATATTGTGAGAAAATGGTATGTCATTTATCCGGACCCAAACTTTATTTGCTATATTTTAATATTGCAAATCACGACATAAATATATTAATCCTTATTTCGACTGATAGTTTTTTTAAATGTTTACTTTAAGATGCATGATAAAAATTTATTTATAATAATTTTATTAAAAATTACAAAATTTAAAACATTAAATATCCATGAAATAATTGTCCCCACCGACTCTCTCAGTTTAAAAGCAAAAGTATTATGGTTCCAACGTCCACCAATTAATATATAGTACCGTTCACAAGTAAAGACATCCATTTAATATAGTTCCAAAGTTAACTTTATGGATTTCTAATACTAATTGTGGCACAAATATTAGAAATTCAAACGGATATAATTGAAATGTCTCTTGTTATAGAAATAGATCGACAACTGAATGTATTTCACCCAAGGAGGAGACATGGTTCTTTTATCCATTAATGAAGTTGAATTTTGAGGAAGATGAAAAAAAGGTAAATTAAGTTAAAAAATAAAATTGAATAAACGACAAAATATCAGAAGCATGCAAACCATTTCTTTAGAAAGAATTTTTCAAAACACGTGTCAAAAATATAATGCACCAGATTTTCACTTGTATTTTTTGTCTAGAAATTCATCTATCTACAATGTTTGCCCTAAGCAACATGTAGACCGCTTTTTAAAATCTTGCAATTGATATCAAGAAAGGTTTTTTTAGTTAGTAAATAGCAAATTTTATAAAAAAATATATATATTAAGATGTATTAAATAATATAGATGTGAATATTTTTATATTTTTAATTACATAATCAATATTTTAAAAACACTAATATTTTCCTATAAAAAGGATATAATCAAAATAGCTTCTTTATTCCTAACTTTTTTCAGGCTTGTTCTACAGTTTCAATACATCGTTGCATTATATATATTTATAGACAGTGAAAAACACTGTTTGTAAGGGCAAAACAAACGCCAATATATTAACAAGAACGACTCAGGCAAAAATAAAACTACGCAGGCAACATTTATAGGAAAATCATATCAAAATTCCAGAGGCAGTAAAGTAAAGGAAACAAGTATAGAATACTATGGAAACAAAAAGGAAAACCTGGTGGAATGATGCCAAACCATAGTCTGCGAGACGGGGATTCAGATCTGTGTCAAGCAAAATATTGGAGGACTTGATATTCTTGTGTAACAATGAAGGAGAACAAATTTCATGTAGGTACCTGAATATTTAGATCGCGAGAACAAAATGAATGGTGTTAATAGTATTTAAATGCATTCAATGTAAAAAAAAAATATTATAATTAGAACTGAGATCCGCAATTGGGTCTAATATATATATCGTAAAGTTCCAACCATATATAAATTATCGAATCCAAAATCTGCCGAGCATTTGAATTTATATAAATAGTTATTTATCATTATACTTTAGTAATATATTTCTTACACATATCTATTCTACAAATTAACACAAGTTTTTAATATAGTTATAGCACATTGATTATAATCTGGATTTTAAATGCTAGTAAAAAACAAAGACGAATGTGATATTCCTATCTAGCTATAGAAGCATATCCATATCCATGAATATGTAGTGAGCTATGTTAAAATGCAAGTATATATGAATGATAGATGTATACTAACTCAACAGCCCGAGCTGTTCCCAATGCAATTCTGATTCGTGTGTTCCAAGTTAGAGGTTTGCTGAAGTCATCTGACAAATGTAAAAAGTCATGAAGAGAGCCATTTCTGTAATAATCATATACTAGCAAGTGCTCCCGTTCAGAGCAATAACCAACAAGCTCAACAATATTTTGGTGGTGAATTTTGCCGATAATTGAAACAATCTGAGAGAATTCCTCAGGAGAACCATCATGGAAAAGTGAAGGGTCGATTTTTTTTACAGCCAATACCTGATAGAAAAACAGAAGTTTATATGAATCAAAGTAAGTGCTTCTTTTGTTTTTTAATTTAATTGCAGCCATGGTTGTCCCATAGCCGTGCCATGACCCAATACTCGAAAGCTAATCTTACGATTTTTTCATGCACATATACTAGTGTATCCACCACTAGTTTATACTAAAGCTCACATGTAGATTAATTAAACTTCAAACAGAAAGTACCTTTCCATCAGCATATTTAGCCCGATAAACACGTCCAATGGATCCTTCACCAAGAAGTCGACCTGAAGCAAAATTTGCAGTAGCAGTCTTCAGCTCTTCAAATGAAAAAGGACTAACACGGATTGATGTGCTTCTTCTTACTTTTAGACGATTTGCAAACTTGTTGTCGTTAAACGATTGCACACAATCAGAGACTGATGACCTAACACTAACTGATGGAGTTTTTTGCAAAGCCTTTATGTCAATTGAAGTGGAATCCAATGATTTAAATCCTGTCACCAATATAACTACTGAAGTCAGTTAAATTAATTTGTCAACTCCATATTGGCCGTTGTCATGATTTTCCAAAATAACTAAAATTATATAACAATTTCTTTGTTTTAACAGCCACCAAAAATTTGTCAAGATCAGCTCTTCCAAAATTTGTCATGCTTGCAGAAGGAGTGCTCATTGCATCTACTTGGCGTTCTGTTTTTTCTCTATCTTATTTGCTGGATCTAGAGTCCAAGCTCCTCAGTATTCTCCTCTGATGTATATGGATCTGAACTTCCTTTGTTAGATAAATAATACTATGTGAATCTCAGTTTTTATCAGAAGATTATATCAACTTCAGTCATGACACGAGAGGGAACATTTAAATCTATATTCAATCCTCCTTCCAAAGAAGAAGAAAACTAGAATGAAATTTTCATCCAATGTAAATAATTAAATCTATCATTAATCACAGACAGTGCCTATTGGTTGACATATAAATAAGAATCACAAGAAGTTCTGTAAATAAAAAAAGCACCTTTGTATTCTTTGCTGACACTGGTGTTGGAATCTTTTGATAACTCCTGAGATGAAAGGGTCGCAAAAGATTTATGCTGGCTATGCTTCTCTTCATCGGTAAAATGTGAAGAAGGTGATGATGACTTTCTTTTAGAAAGAGCAACGGCAACTATAATTATTGCTAGTAGGCCAAAAGCTGCGCCTGCTATGGCTAATTCCCTGACAACAGGTTTTTTATTGTTTTTCTCGTCGGAATGATGCTTGATAGGGGGTGTACCAGGAGGAGGAGGAGGTGCTGGTCCGCTTGACCAAGAGTTTCCTCCAGTACTTTGAAATTAACAATACAAAGTTAGAGAAACAACCTAAATCTGCATATTTCAACAAATGACTGTTACAAAATACTTACTGCAATCTCTTTATATCCTTTAACTCCTCAGGGAACCAACCAGTAAATTTGTTGTTTTCAACATTCCTGTTTCAATTAAAATAGTAATAAAATTTTGAAAACTAAAATTTTACTCGTTAAGTAAAAATATCTTTGTCTTTACCAAAGTGATATTCATAAATTGACTAAACAACTCTGACTTTTTAGTTCCTCATAATGAAAGATGTTGCACAAGCTTTTACTGAACTTACAAATCTTCAAGTGGGAGGTTGGCAAGGACATTTACTGAACCCGTGAATTGATTGTTTTGTAGGTGCCTGTACAAGAACAAATAGGAGTTTAGAGTGAAGATGTGTCCGTGTGTATATTCCCTGCCTGTGATAGTGATTGTGTTCTTACAACTTCTTGAGGTTTCTGAGCGATTTGAGACTATCAGGTAGGTTCCCTGATAGCGAATTAAATGATAAATCCCTACATGTTATTCAATGATAAATGGTTAATAAAATTGTCATGTCTGGAGAAACCTGACAATCATATATTAAGAAACAAAATAAGTGAGGTGTTTCCATAGAACAATCTCAAAAGTAAAAATGAATCGTCTCCCAAACATCAATGCATGAGTTTACTTTGGCCAAATTAGGTAAATTTTAGAAAAGTCATTGGAGAAAAAAATCAACATTAAAAATGAGTAAAAATTATTTCATAAATTTAAAACAACTTATGCTTCTTAATTCTTTTAAAAACTCCTTCATTTAGCTTCGCTTAAAATCAGTATAAATAAATTACTCATTTACATGCCTTAATGCAAAATTATACACTGCTGGAACTCAGTTCTTTGCAATAGCTTCTACTTAACTCGAGTTAAATGCCAAAATCATCAATAGCATGGAAGTGCAGATCTTGATACTATAAAACTTGCTGCAATTATGATCACACTTACAGCTGTTGGAGTTTACCGAGGTTCCCAAACATATCACCCAACTGGTTATTGAGTTGATTATGAGCAATATTTCTGCACACATGACATGTTGACGAACAAAAGAAAAGTTGCAAGAAAAATGATGAGTAAAAAATAGAAAGACACTTTACTTACAGGTAGTCGAGGTCACTGATCTGAGAAATGGAATAAGGTACGCCTCCAGTGAAGCCATTCTTAGAAAGATCTCTGCATGATTATATAAAGAATTATTGAAGGAAAAACATATGGCGCCAACCAACAAATGCATGCACTTAAATTGTTAATTATTAAGCTGACTTACATGTAACGAGCATTTGGAGGAAGTTGATACGGTATCTCACCCTTGAGGTTGTTGTTGCTCAAATCACTGTACTATGAAAAATTAATGCACGGCATTTGAGTGATGCTCTCTTATTAAAAAAAAAAAAATGAGAAAGAAAGGAAGTGTGTATTTGAAGATATGGGCCTCACAAATAGGTAACTGATGTTAAGCTAGACAACTGGTAGCTCATTGATCCAGTAAGTCCAAGGTCAGATAAATTTCTGGTGAAAGTAAAAGTAGTTAGAATGTCTCAACTGCATCCAACCACGACCACAACCAATAGGACTAGGTAGTCTAATAAATACTATATTAATCTCTGTTGATGAATTTAGATTTTAGATAGATATATTATATTACATTTCCGTGACAGAAGAGCCTGAGCATTTGATTCGTTCCCAGGAATTGCCACAAGGATCACCTCCGCTTGATTTCCAGCCACTGAGTTGTGAAGGGGAATTTAAGCTGCTATACATCGCATTAAGGGCTGAAACTGCACAAGTTGGTTCATCATTGAGCATGCATAAGAATTTGGATATATTAATCATATATCTATGCATGCATGCAAAGGTACGTACCATCCTGGGAGGCAGTTTTGCAATGAACTGCGGTGGTTGAGACTGCAAGCAAAGCAATCCACAACCTTGCAAGCTTAAGGTTGTGGTGCATTATAATTTTTAGCACAATGGAATGACGCAAGGCAGAAAGAAAATTAAACAAGTAAAGTGGTGTTTTCTTTTGATCCAAAAGAGAAAGAAAATTACAACATTGAATTTGAAAGAAACATAACATTCCTTCAAAACCCAACACCATTTCAAATGCCTAAATTTAGGAGAGAGAAGCAAACGGGTATGAATTTGACGCCTAAAAATGGCTGGTAGCGCACTCTTTTGCGGAGCTGTTCCCGCAGATTTAGAAAATATCTACTTTATACTTAGGGTTTAAAATAAATTTATATTGATCGTTGACATATAAATAGTTAACGATTAGCGTAATGCATTAATTACTTACACATTCAAAAATTAAAGCTTAGGATTATATATAGACAGAAAAATATTATTTGTATAATAAACTTGTTATTTTTTTTATATATAAATTATAGGGACAAACGAAAACGAAAGAGAAGAGTTCGGTGTCCTACTTATGCTTTGGCCACCCAAAATTTTTCAAATATTTTATATTATTATTGTATTTTATGAATAAAATATTTTTTGAAACCCATCGAACCATGTCAAAATTCTTTCGTTGTTGATTCAAGTGATATTATTTAAGTATATAAAGTCTTAAGTTTAAGTTTTTATGTATATAAAAAAAATTTAATAGTAATTTATTCACACCATCTAGATGCACGACTTAAGTCGGATGTAGATTAAATTGAATGAGAAAAGAAAAAATAAACAAACTCCTTCGTTCATTATTGTTTCTTCCATGGCTCTACCACTAAGTCCATTGCGTCGATTTTCTACCAGTGGCTATCGAGCCACTCTGCTTACCCTTAAACATATACATAAGATATTTATCAACTGATGCTAATTAAAATATTTCGCAACTCGTCAAGAGACTTTCAAACACGTTCTAAATTTAGTCGAAACATTTATCAAATGATGTTTTGCGTACTATATATTACTACTTCGCATTTTTTATTAGTTCTTTTTACTAAATCACATATATTAGAAATAGTTAATGTATTGGTATTTAAAAATAATAATTATAGTATTGCAAGTTTATCTATAGTGAAGTCAAACATTATCATTACATTAATTGTTAATATGTTAGAATGATGAAATAATAAAGGATAAATATGTAAAAGTATAATATCTTAGGAATAGAACTAAGTGACTAAGAGATCATTTAAAAATTTCTTTCTTAATGCTTGTTTGATTTAGGTTCACTTAAAGAATTATAATTCATGAATGAAATAAAGGGGTTAGGCATCAAGAAAAATGAATCTAACCTTATTGAATAATATTTTTTTGCAACCGGGAGACTTAAGATGTAAATTAGAAGGATAATTAGATTACATAAAAAAAAATGAAAGAATTTCAATCTAAATCTATTACCATTATTTTTAAAATTTTGTGTGATATTTTATTGATTCAGCTCTTCCATTGCCCATTCTTCGTGGCTCAAACACCACTGAACCTTCTGAAATGAAAACCAATACAGAGATGACAGAATAAAAATCACCATATCAAGTCAACAATTTAGGCGTGCGAACTATCCTTTAAGTGACACTTCATGTAAATCATGGGATGACCTACTCTATGCCTGTAGTTATTCCTGGAACATAGATATAATCTTAATATTACCTAACGTCCAAATTAAATAATATACGTATTCTTTCTTACAATCAACCAACAAAGCTAATTGTAAGTTTTGGAAAGATATACTGCAGCTACCATCCGCGATAACATCAAGAATTTTATACTAATATCATCTAGATGATTATGGATTACAACAATAAACAGTGTAATATTATTAAAGTAAGATTTTATTTCAATAAAATTCGTAGTATTAAAGTAGGTAATAAATGAAGAATTTTATTAAAATATGGTGTGAAAATAAGTTATAATTAAGCTATAAATCCAAATATTACTTCAAGTAATATCTAAAAAGTCTCTATAAGTTAGGAAAATAAACTTATTTTTTAAATATCTCCATTTTGATTGAATAAATTTATCAGTTATTTAAATAAGTTATAGACAGATAGAAACGATTGTCAAATATCTTCATGGGTTCATATAAGGTGGTGCACCCAATATACGGACTATTGGTAGTCCAATTCCTTTCAAGTGTTAGATTTAACATTGTTAAATAGATGAACAAGATCTTTTTATGCAAAACTCATACAACAGGTGAAAAGAAAATTGCAATCTTAATTGGTAATTGTTGTCCTATCACTTCCACTCGATATCTGCAATCAAAACCTAACAACGTTTGATGAAGTGGAGTCACTTTTGATGGCTTTGGATGCTTGAAAATGCCGACCCCCAAGTAGAGTCACTTTTGATGAAAACATGGTCATTTAGAGAATGTTGAACCCCATGCATAATGTTCTATTTTGAAAATCTTCCGGTGGTGTCATGCTTCTTTTCTGATTTTTTTTTCCTGTTTCTTATGCATATATTTTCGTCTTATCATAAAAGCAGGACATAATGAAGTTGCCAGCATAGATTGACAATGTGTAGATTTATAGCATAGATCTAAGCAATCACAAGTGGAAACTCGATCGTTGAGAAAGTGAGAAACCGTGAAAGTCCCTTCCAGATATGCCGCAACCTCAATGGTATACAAATTGACAGAACTAACTAATGTCCATATAGCGGAGGGAGACTCATGGTTCATATACTCACTATACCCCTACCTTCGACCAAATTTTCTTTAATTTGAGTGTTTGAACACCTCCAAGCCCTCACTACTAAGAATCACTATCAACCACTACTTTAAACCTTCTTCGTTGGAGAGTCACCCATCCCAGCTAAAGATGGTTCATGACATGGCGTGATCTATTTAAATAATAAATTTAATTAATTTTTTTAAAATACTTAATTAACTGAATATGTTAGATTTAAGTTTAAGAAAAATCTTAATAAATATAATAGAATATTCTATTTAAATAATTTTTATATTAAATAATTTATATAAAAATTATAATATAATATTATATTAAATAAATTAAAATTTCAATTTCAATTAAAAACCTTAATCCTACTACGTATTTTTTAAGAAAGAAAACGTCATTTACTAAAAAATTTTGCATTACTATTGCTTAATCTATTTGTATACATAATTCTGATATTCATTTGTGTTTATTTTATGTTTAATAATTTATTTATTTAAATTAAATATATAATTTGAAAGTAATAAATAAAAATATATAATTTATTAAAAATATTTAAGGTTTTAAACTTTTTTTTATTTGTTTTTTTAAATATAAGTCTTATGTCTTTTTATAGAAATATACTTATTTATATGATTTGATATCTTATTTATAAAAAAAAAAAATTAAAATACTAAAATTTACACAATACTTTTTAATTAGTAAATTATATAAAAATATAAAAATGTTATATTAATATCTCTTTTTATACAATCTCTTCTTTTTTATACACATTTAATTATATGATATTAAAATTGTGGAGTTAGTGATTTGATATTTTATTTTTAAAAATTGATAATTGTTAAATATTACATATCAAAGAACTACTTGCACATTATATTTTAACTGATAAGTTGGATAAAATTATAAGAGTATTACGTAGAAGTTATAATTTATTATTAGAAAGTGTAGATAGGTAAAATGAAAGTATCCATAACTCCACTAATAAGTCTATATTTTATAACATGTATGCGTAAGTTTTACACAAAAGTTACAATTGAAAAAGTTAAAATAAACGCGGATCTATGATTATTCAAATGTGAACCCAAATACACAACAGATTATTCAACCAAAATTTTTTACCTTTGCGTTAACTTATTATCTATTTCTTGCCAAATACACTCGTAATATACTATTTAAAATTTGTGTAAATATCTACTAAAATAAAATCAAATTTACACTCAACTTAGTTTGCTTTGCTTTGATCTAGCACCACGCTTACTAAGTTTTGTTAAGATGTATGCCATGGCAACTTTAGCACCTAGGCTAGAGTGACCACGAGAGAGGCATATTACACCCCCAAGAAGCAGCAAACTATTGGCTAGCAACTTTCTTGATGGCCTTCTAGGGATCGTTCGCACTTGAGATTCATCATTGACTTGCTCATGGAAGACAGCAGGATCTGCTGGAGATATCTTGCTTGTAATACTAATAGGGTCCAAGCAAGCCGGTACCTACACACAAGGAACTATTAGCCAACACTTGCCTAGTTTGAATTCCACAACGAATATATCTATAAGAATAATTATAAACCCTTCTACTTCTTATGCCTACAAATTCTTCAAATTATCAAGAAAATTATTAAATGTTTTTCATATTTTCAAAATAATATATGCATATATTTCGTTATTTAATATTTACTTTATTAAGCAGTAAAAAGATTATTAAGATTTGTAAGAGCATATAACAAAACTGTTTGTAAGAAAGAGAACAATACCACTAAAACCCACAAACAATACCACTAAAATGACAAGAGTACCACGAACAATCCTATTATCCAAAAATTCACTTTAACACCTGAAAAAAAATACTTCATCGTCTCACGAATACGTGCTGGTTTTTATAAAACTTCTCATTTTTGTCCTGTGGCCAACTAGAGTTTATTCAAAACTAAACCATCAGTTGGTTGATAGGTTAACGGTGTTAAAACTAGCCATCAAGAACATTTCCTTTTGAAGTCTAAAGCAAGCCACATTCCAGTAATTATGTCAAAAGGCGTCAACAAACCAACCAGGAAATAAATTAAATGATATGTGAAACTAACAGCACTAACCTTCTGCATTAAATTGACTGAAGTGGTAACGGAACTTGATAAATGATAGCTTATAACAGAGTATCTTCTAAGTGCATTATCCATCCTGCATACATAGCTCCATATGCCCTTGCGAAAAGCCAGCTTAGCCATCTCCATATTTAAACCAGCATCTTCTTGATGAAACATTGTGATTTCACATGCATTTCTCCCTGGTACTGTAATTTTATAAATGCAAGTCATAAAACAATCCTCTCATAAGTAGAATTCATTTGCTCATTGTTGACACAATGAAATATAAAATAAAAGGAAGCACAAGACTATCCAGGAGAATGAGAGAGACAGGTTGTAGAATTACCAGAGTGGACTACAACAACTGAAGATGATACTGACAGGGCTATTTAAGTTGGAAGGTATTCCTTCTTTTCTTTTAACTGACAGAAGGTTGGAGGATTCGAAGGTTGTATAGAAGCCATTAGGATGAATTTTACAGTTGGAGCCAAAATATGGGCTTACAAAATGTGCAGAGGCAAAAAATGGCCAATACTTAAACAATCAATATAGACTTGACCCACCATCCAAGTAGAATAGCAAAGAGCAAGCAGAGAACAGGACAAAAAATCCTAAGAACTTTACTACATGAACTGTTAAAGTTGAACAATGTTCGTGAACAATACTTCCACAACAAAGCTGTTTAGACCAAATACTAAATGGCAATGATGAATTTTGGCAACAAGAATTTGAAATCTGCCCAGAAAATTCCTTTGGTAGACAACAAAGGGGCCAAGTCCAAGGAACAATAAACAAGCCATTGTCATTCAGCCTCAGCAGAGGCTGGATGGATGCACAGCAGAGATGGGATTAACGTGCTCTGATACCAACTTAAGATTTAAGGAAGGAGAAAATAACTAAGAAAGTATTGGGGGGAATTGCTTGAGTGAAAAACATACTCAAAACTGCAGATCTATACAGACAATAATTAAACAGAAAAATCAATACAAGAAATCAGGCCAATAGTTTCAACTCTATGTCTTCAGGCATAACAAATCCAGGCAACTTTAAAAGTCAATTAGTTTTATTATGTAGTTTCAATTTTCTAGTGGATTCCCCTACCCCCGCCTCAGTCTCATTGTTTAATGAAAAAACTTGGAAAAAGCCAAGGACCTACCTTCTCTTATTCGCCAGCCAGATCTAAAAAACTCAACTCGTACATATTTTCTTTGCCGCAGTGCCAAAGGATGTTCACACTCCTAACAAGGTTCATAACCAAAAATGGAAAGAAAATAATCAAGAATTCATTGCATATAAAAGAGAACGCTAAGAAAAAGCAATTCTTTGCATGCATCCTCAGATACAATAGTAAGAAATCTCACAATTACTGCATTCTTCCACATATAAAGGTTGTGTTTTCTATCAATTTTCAATATGCTCTGTCACTGCATTTCCCTTGAAAGTATCATTAACAAAAGCAAAAAGCTCAAGATAGGATCCAGCCTATTGTCTAAATATACACATACCGTCTGAAAGATATCAAGAGGGATATTATGAACAGACAGGTGAAAGGAATGGAGAATAGCTCTGCTTCACACATGCAGAACAACTGCGTGCCAATATCAACAAGATATATAAAAGTTCTACCAAACTAAGTATGAAGGGCTTGCAATGGTTAACAGCTTCTATCTAAATATGTATACAATTAGAAACCTGAATAATTTGACGTGCAAACATTTCAGTATATAGTGTATAAACCCCAACAAATGAATCTTCAAATAGACACAAAAAAAAAAAAAAAAAAAACAGCAAAAATATTTATAATTACAAGTTACTAGTGCTACTGGACAGTATTACATATAAACAATAGTCTCTTCTAAGTTATAATCTGAATCTCTAATTTCAGAAGTGACAAATTTTCTAACTCTATTTTTGTTTTCTCCTACATAGATCTTCCTATTAAATGACAGGTAACAAGGAATAAGATGAAGAGGCAGAGGGAAGGAGAGCTGTTGATGAAACATTCAAGTACGAAATCATAAATATATGAGACATAACAATGTGCATTAATGCTAATCAGTAGCTAAAAGAAATTATTTGCATTATTTTTATAGAAAAACCACAATTGGGTGTATTTACCTTCATGAAACAGTAAAATGTTTTATCCCTCCCCTCCCACAACTTCCAAGCTAGCACATATTCTCTAGGCCTCAAAAGAGGGAACTTTTTAACTGTATGACCAACTTCAGTACCATCAGATTTGTCTAGCTGCAGTTGATTATGCTCAACCAGTGTTTTATCCCACTGCTTTCTGTAATCATTGTCCATGTAGAAGTTTCTTAGCATCTCAGATGAAATATCATTAAACACAGTCTTGCTCAAATATCTCAGGGGACCATTCTGCAACATCAATGGAGAAACAACTATATAGTTTATAAATCATTTTAAAAACCATTCTGTTTTTATATGCATATGTAACCAAATAAGACAATATCAAATTTAAGTTTACACACTGAATAACCTCCTGACCTTATTATCATTTGACAGAAAAAATGACTTGGCATTGAAGATTATCACCTAAAAATTACTATTTTCCCTTAACTTGGACACGATAAGTTGCTACTGAACTACAGAAGAGTAAACTGATTTGAGGATAGAGAGCACCAGAGGATGGTTTGCCTCATTATATAACAATTCAAGCTTAACAAACTTCAGACAACAGACACAGAACATTTATGAAAGCAACATTTTATTATAGATTTATAGTTGCAGCAAAAAAGTTGAGTTCACATTCCCAGAATAAACTACAATCAATTCATGTCTTCACTCCAGTTCCAACGTAAAATCAATAACCTTAGGCTTGCAGCATTTTGCAGTGTAGCATAGATGATGGTTTCTTTTATCTATAACATCCTCCCATTTATCACTTTCATTGAGCTTCACATCCAAAATCTCCATTAAGAACTTCAAATCAGCATGTGTCACAAAATTTGTGGCTCTGCAAGAGTACACAAAAAACTTTAAGATTGTCAAAGCATCTTACTTATTATGCACTTGACTGAATGCTAGTTAAATACAGCAAAGAGATAACTATGAATATGATTCAAAGTATTAGGGTGTCTGGGAGAATCATATCACAAAATCTAGCCGTTGTAGTTAGAAAGCCTAAGACCTTATAAACTCCACACTACAATCCTATACTTCTACTGTGGGATCCACTCACATTTATTTCCTATATGTGTTTATAACCCATTGCTGTACCATCAGTTTAGTAAGGAAGAACATTTATTTCCCTCAAATTCTTCAAATTCTAAGAAATATATTGAGCTCCATAAACCTTAGAGTATAAACGGAATCTCAAAATGTTGAGGTGATAGATATAACATAGCAAACTGAGGTCATCCCAAACATTGCTAATGACAAGAGAAACAACAAAATGTGCACTTGCAAGAGAAGGTGTGAATGATGCACAACCAGAAAAGCTGGTTGGAATGTTGCATGGCCAAGAGAAGAACCACTGTTGGAAAGAAGCATAACAAAAGAAAAAGACACCACTAGAAATACAGAGTGTAAGCAATTTCATGGCAATGATGGCATAAATTAAATGGCAATAAGACCCAAACTATTCCAAATTATCAAAAAGCAGTATTTGGAAGTTTCAAACGGCAAATGCAAGCTTAAAAAAGAATTCAGAAGACCCCAAAAGCATTGAAAAAAATGTTTGGAATAAGAAAGAAACTGAATTGGGCTGAAAAATGGCTTCAGCCAGCAAGAAAAAACTTGAACTGCACTATCTATAGAGAACACACTATGCAAGAAAAGAACCAACCAAAGACACAAAAAACAGGACAAACAGAGCCAAACAAAGATGAGCCAATGGACCTGAAACCTCATAGTCTTGCAAATCAATCAGAAACTGGCAAGGAAAGGGAAGGACACATGTAGCCGCTAAAGTTGGTTGGAATGAATCAGAGTTTGATACAACCAAGAAAAAATAGACGATGAGAGAAAAATGACAAATACTAGTGGCTGGGAAAGTGAATACAGCCACCAAGAGAGACAGAGGAGTCTAACAAAGAAGTTCCATATTTTGGGAACTCGATGGGAGAGACAAGACAGGACATGGGTCATGCTGGATGGAATTTCTCTCTTACCATGTAAAAACTGTATGGAAAAAACTAAAAATCAGAAGAAGAGCTTCAACAATATTATGATGTTACATAAAATGTATTCCTACCAAGCGGTATAGGATTTTGAATAATATTCACAACCACAGGCTGTATTTGTGCCTGTGTTTGTGTTATTTTGGTATTAATGGATCTCGTGTGTAAGTCTAGGGTAAGGATTCTGTTAATTCTATTTAAGCCGATGCATAACTTCCTTTCCCCTTGGCTGAGCACAAGCAACAGCTCCACTCACTAATACCATCCTATATTGGACAGTTTGTCAAAACCTAAGATCTCAGCCTAAGGTCTGTTAATTGTGATGTTATTAGCAACTTAAGGTCGGCTACAGATATTTAAAACAAAAATAATATAACATTTTTTCAAAACCATCATTTCTGGTAGCTTGAATTTGCCGAAAGTGCAAGGCTACAAAACCCCATAATTCTAAATACCTAATTTCGCTGATACCATTCAAAGCCCCAAAAAGCCTCAATTTCACTATACGTTTTGTCAGACCAAACAATCACTGTGAACTAACTTAGACTGTAAACTGAAGAACTTACCATAAAATGAAAGTATCAACATACAGCGACAGCATAATCGAATACAATGGATTTCTTAAGCAAAAGGAAGGAAGTGGAATAGACCTCGAGCTTGAATTGATAGAATCGGAGAGAAAAACGGAAGAGGATGAGGATGAAGAAGCAGAGAAAAATCTGTGACGCTGCCAAAGTAATAATAGTAGAAGGAACACAACAACAGTCACAAGAATGCCCCAACCGACATAGATGTTTAATACACTCGTCGTCGTCATCATCGCCACCATCTTATTCATATTCTTGGCACCTCCTCGACTCGTCCACTCAATTATCCCTCATCCTTCTCCTCATACCTATTTCTTTCATTCCCGAGTACACCTCTTAATTTCTTATCCCTGTTTTTTCTAAATAAAACTAAGGATATAAACGACCTTTTAGTTGTGAATTAGCTTTCGAAGAAATAGGTACGATTTTAATCTTTTATCTTTGAACTTTTTTATTTATACCAAAAATTACTGTTCACAATTTTTAAATTTTATATTTTTATAATTTTTCAAAAAATACTATATTTCAGTATATATAATTTCTAAATATTATATATTAAAAAATAATCCTTAAATTTGTAGTTAAAACTTTATAATTAAATAAATAGTTTATAAAATTTAAAATATTTGATAAATTAGTTAGATAACCGATTTATTTGTGATAAATAACTTTAAAAAATATAATATTAAAATTAGTTTTTATTTATTTTATTTATTTACAATTAATTAACTAAATAATTATATAAAAAATAAAATTTCTCTTCATATATATTTAAACATAAAATATTTACATTATATACTTTTTAATATAAAATATATTTTTAAAAAATTAAAAAATAAATAAATAAAAGAAAAAAAATGAGATTATTGTAAACTTGAAAATGACAAAAGATAATGAAAAATTAGCATACCAATGTGAGGTTTGTTTTTTTAATTGTGTAACAAGTTTTTTTTTTTTAAATAAAAGATAAATATAATAAAAAAATTGGTAATTAGTTTCTGAAAACTAAATACTACATTAAATAGTTTTTGAAAAACTAATTTTCAAATGCTGTAATACTCATTTCATCTTTTATTTGCCAATAAGCTTTATAAGTTAATAAACTCTCAGCTACATTCACCAAACATAGCTTAAGATTTACTCTATATTTAGTTTATGAATGTTTTTTATATTTTTAATTTTGATTGATAATATTTATTTTATATATTTTTTTAATTGTTTAAATTTAGTCTGTTATCACAAAATAAATTATTAAAAATATATAAAATTTATAATAATAAAATAATAAATAAAATGGTTTTTATTTTATTTTATATATAATCAAATTTAATAAAAACTAGTTTATTTATTATTTTCTATTACATATATAACTAATTTATATAAATCAATAATGTCATATTTTTATTAATTTTAAATAAATTATGGTGTGAAAAATTTAATTTAGACTACTTGAAAAATTAAATAGTAGTTATATTAAGGAACTAATGTGCTAAGGATTTAACGTTTTAAAATAATTAATTTAGTTGTTTGGTAGCACTTTCATAGTTGAGAGGCCAATTTAACACGTTTCTTCTTTATTTTATTTATGATATGCATATATAAATTGTTTTAAGACAATAAACTAAAAGAATTTTATCAATTCCCTTACTCCATGACTAGAGTATTGACTATTTATTTGCCCTAATAATTTTTTAATAAACATTATATTTCATTAATCTAATTATTGCTTTTAAATTTTTTAATAAGTAGATTAAGTCTATAGAATTTTATAAACTTTAAAAATTATTTAATACTTTGTCAAACAACTTTATTTAATATATACTGATGTATTTGTAAAAATATAAGCAAATATTATATATAAAATTACATAGTATGAATGTTTAAAATCATTTCAAAATATGAATTTAATTAAAATGTACTCACATTCAGCATCTAATAATAAATTACCATATTAGCAAACAAAAAATAAAATTACACTGTTATTTACAAAAAAAAAAATGTTGACTATTAAGTTTAAATTACACGTATTAAATATTGTGTAAAAAAATTATATTAATAATGTATAAAAATTAAACTTTCAAAATACAACTTTATAAGATTTTTCAAAGTATTGTTTACAAAATATTTGAAAATCTTAATTAATTCTTGTTAAATTTTGAAACTTCTTGTCAACAAAATTAAGTTTAAAGTTTATTAAAATTATAGATTTTTATCTAAATTTTTTTATTGAGATTAGCTTGAATAGCTTACCTACAATTATGCTCGACGAAATAAGATAATTTTAACAAGTGACCAATAATACATTATACTTCTTTCGGTCTTTTTTATTAAAAATAAAAGACTAAATCACCATATCAAGAAAAATAATTAATTTTGTAATATTTTTTATAAATATAAATTTTATTTCAAAAATACCCGTGATATTAAATAGTATAGTTAATAATTTGTATATTTAATTATACTAATAAAAAAAAGTATAAAAAAATTTAACAATTAATATATCTTAACTTTATCATTTTTTTTTTATAATAAAAATCAAAAAAATATTCCATTTTGTTTCTTATAAAAAAGAAGAGTAATTATTAAAGAACACCTAAAAGGTCCTCCGAGGGCTACAAAAGAAATTTCTCAACATTCCAGATTACTTGCATTTGAAACCTATGATTTGAAATAAGTATAAATAATTTAAAATTACATTAAATTGAGAATTTTATCCTTTTTTAAAAAATAAACTACAAATATTTCACTAAATGTAAATACTACCCTTTGTATAATTTATAAAAAAAATTAATTTGAACGGGAAGTTATAATCTAACCGTATGCATAAAAGAATGACTATTTTCAAGGTGATTTGCTGCCTTTATTAAAACGTTCGTAAATATGAGAAAATTTTACAAATAAGATACCTAACAAACAATCCTAACCCCAAATTATTAAAAAAACAGAACAAAACAAAAGGAAGGATATTAGAATCTAAGCTACTAAAATAGCAGAAGAGATGGGGGGGATGGGGTAACAAACGACAATTTTAGTTGACGCACTCTAGGAAACATTTTATACACGAAACCCATTCTTTTAGGTAAAACCACCTCATTTAGAAACCCAGAGACTCCAATGACTTGAATAACATCAGCAACACTACCTTGTTTGGAAAAATTAATGAGATAAAGCAAGGACGATTCCAATTTTCAATCACCAAATTCGTCGCCAAATGATCAACATGCTTGGCAGAATTTGTACGTCTTCCTAATTGGTTTTGGTTTGAGTTGAAGAGGCGGTCACCGAAAGGCCATCATCAGCTTTAACTACATTACCGATGGGACCATGAGAAGCTAAATTACCTCTATCAGCAGCAACAACGTCGTCGTTATTCTCATCTAAGCCAACAACTAGAGCAAAGCTCTTTGACATCTGCTTGATGAAATCACCAGTACTGTTAGCAGAACTCCTATGTTCACTTTCTCCAACCAATCCAGTAGCCATCATGCTGTTTTGCTGCCTTGCCTTCCGTTCTTGCATAGCCTTCTGCCGGTCTTCGTAGAAATCAAAATCATCCAGGATGGACACATCAGTTTCATAGTTTTTAAAAATGCTCAACATTTCAATCCCCTGTAGCAGTTTCACCTGAAATGTTTAAAATTCAGAAAGGAGCACAAAATTAGCAGTTTGTAATCATGCAATTCTAAAAGCCCATGATAAACAGATTTTTACAATCCATTTTTGCAAGCTTATAGAAGAAAGTGATAGCTAGGATAGAAGACTAGGGGCCTGTTTGTTTTACTTAATAGCACACATTCTAGTACAAAGTCTATGGCTCAGATTAACTTGGGTACACATCCCAACAGCATTCAGAGATTTAAAATCAATTCTATTCAACTGTAAAGCATAACTAAATTGACCTAACTGGTCATTCACCCCCTGTAGAATCAAAATCGTATGAAAATTAATTAAAAGACAAATCAGGCTAACAAACATGGTAGATGACCCAAATAAAGGTCTCAACTGTAACTTCAAACACCAAGGTAAACTACTTCAAAAGACAGGACAATAAATACTTTTTAGGTTTTAGTTTTAGGTTGAATAAAAGTTTGAGGTTTCTCAAGAGTCAAGACAATAGGGAGCTCAACATTCAATTGTCAGAAGTCTATTCAGCAGCAATCATGTTCACTTGTCTTCCTCCCAAAATCTGACATGTTATGTGATGGGCCTCAGCATTGACGACATACTGTAGAAAGGAGAAAAGGAGCAAGGGTAAGATGGGAAATGATGTGGTTAATGGTAAGGGGTAGGGAGAGGAGTCTGTTGTGCTGAATCCTAGCAAACTAGACACGCAGCAGCAGTAGAAAGAGGAGTAGGAGATTTTGGAATCAGTCCAGGGGGACATGAATGCAAGGTAATGGAAGGAGGTGGAGAGGTTAGGCAATCATTTTGATAATTGTGGGGGTGGCAGATGCAACAGAGCACAGTAGACACTGTCTGTCCGATAACTGTTTTGCCATTGTAATTAGTTTTGTCCTCTGAATTTTCTCATCTTTCATATAGTGATACCAGCACCCATCATTATGAAACTTGAGTAAAAACAATAACTGTTAGCATGACTCATAAATATGGAGACAGTGAAAGACCCACAGATTCCTACCTCCTGAGTATCTCGACTGTTGGTCACAGGCTTGTTATCATTATTTTCAAGAACAATGTGACGAAACTGACTGTTCGGAACATCTTTAATTATGCGCCACTTCACAGGAAACTGCCCACTCCACTTATCTTGTTGCCAGAAGTCCACACTCTTATCAAAATTGACAGGTCCAACCATTTCAGCTACCCCACAGAACTGAGCACTAGCATTTACCTGGAAATAGTTGTATGTCGTAATACATATTTTCATGACAGTTGTGTGAGAGAAACACAATAGCAAGGAAACAAAACAAATAAATGAAAAACTATATAAATTAATTTTAATACTTCACTGCTAATTTTATATTTAGTATCAACCTTGAGATATAACCCAATAAAAATGTAGCTAAAGCAATACAGTGCCATAAATATAAGGCCAAGCACTATACAACTGAACCTTCAGAGATGTTTCTTTTGAGAAAAAACCACCTTTTATTCAAAAAGCTATCTCATTAAACTCCCAAAAGCTCTCATGTTTTTGGTGGAAAGGAACAAAATTAAAAAAAGGAAAAACTCTGAACCAAGATTTGTATCAATGACACAGGATAAGAGAAACCTATAGCTACTGTATGATGAAAAAGGTAATGCAATATTTGTGCTTATAAAATATACAAATATCAGATGATTACCGAGAAAAAAAGAAATATAGGACAGGCATCATGCTTCTCCATTGCTTGGCGATAAGCAGCATCTAACTTTCTATTTCCATTTGGTGTACTAGCCCAGACACCATATTTAATGCTCTTGTGAACATTATCTTCACTATAAGATTTGATGACAAAAAATTTGGCATCCTGGTAATCTGTAGCAAAATCTGGCCGATTGAGTGATTCATTTTGGAACTTGGCAGTGGATGCGCTATTTTTACTCTTATCAACAGAATTATTTTCAGCTGAAATTTGATTTTTCAGCTTTGATGCCCTTGGTCCTCGGTTCTGCTCACTAAGGATATCAAGAGTACCATTACAATTGCAAAGAGAAGCAGTTGACCTGCCTTGCCGTCTGTTATTTTCAAGAGTAGCAAAGCTCCTATCATTAATATTAAAATTGGAAATGGAAGTGCTTCCAAAGCTAGAACCCTGGCTAGGTAGGTAGCCTCTACCATAGTAGTTTGAACCAGAACCAAACCCATACAATGATTGCTGTTGATGAGAAGCCTGCACAGAAAAGGACAGTTAACACTTAACACTATGTGTCAACGAATATATTTGTTGTTCTCTGGCAACTTCTCTAGTTTCACATTGTTGCTATTGGTAATACTTTGTAATGCATGGGTGATATGCAATGGCTCATTTAAGACCACAATTTAGACATATTGTTATTATTTTATATTTTTTACAGCTGAAAACAAAGCCACAAAATTCATAGCATAGTGTATGAACAAGACTCATTCCATAGGTCTTCATTTTTGGGTTCATCTCTTTCTTTTAAGATTAATAAACTTATTGATTGAAAAATGAAACATTCTGAATGCTTATGCACAAGTAGAAGAACAAACCATTCCAACACTGAGCCCAAATGACCCAATCGAGCCAATTGGCTGTGGAGAAACAGATGGTGATAGAGGCATCATAGATCTCTGCCTTTCTGAGGGTTTTGAGCAATCTGACCAGATTCCACCAGATCTAGGTCCCTCAAATCCTTGTTGGGATTCATGAAAGCCAAAGGAACCAGGTGCTACGGGAAAGGTACCTCTACCCAAAGATCCCACTGATGGATAGCCTGCTCTTGGTCCAAAAAACATGCTATCAATTTGTTGGTCAATACCTACCAGGTTGGTGAGCTCTGGCTGTGAAATTGGTGTAGGTGAATTAAGATATGGTAAGCTAGGAGGAACCAGTTGATGATAATAAGGTGGTCCAGTGTATGGAAACTGCTGAGGGGAGTATAACTGTGTATCTGCACCAACAGAAGGTAAAGGTGTAGTAACCGGGGAATATGGTCCATAAGGCATTTGAGGGTTGAAGCCATATCCAGAATGGAAAATAAGAGATGGATTTTCATTGTAGACGCCCTAATATAAAAAGTTTAAAAGAATATATATTATTTTGTACAATACAAACAGAAATTGTATATAAATAAGAAAGAGATGCCAAATACTTACAGGAGATCCAATTTCTAATCCCTCAGAATTGACATATGAAGAATATTCATCCCATTCACCATTGCTATTGTCAAAACCTGGAGTCAGATTCACCAAAAATTAGAAAATGGCAATAGCAACGCCAATAACCAAATAACCATTGCACAAAGAGAACCAAAAGACAGTCAAAATTTTGATGGTCAATTTCCACTTTGCAATTTGAAAAATCCTCTGATGAAAAATACGTGTTGCTGGTGAGGGGGGGGAATCAACAATAATTGAACAAAATTGTCCAAAAGTATGTTACTAAAATTCGTACCAAAAAAAGAGAGTGCCTCTCTTCACTTCAAAGGCATTAAAAAATTATTTAAAATCTCACACTTTTGCAAACTCAAACTGATTATCAAAATATACAAACTACATAATGATGTCCATAAATAATTAAAATTTAACAAGGCTGCATAGATTCCCAAAAGTTGTGTGCCATGAAATGTGCATTGGGATGGATAACAATGAACGTAAAATTATGGGCAAGATGGGCAATATAGACAATAGATTGATAGTGTAAGAATGGTGAATTGGTTCAAAATGTCAAGACAGTAACACATAATTGTAAAGTTAACAATAGCATTGCCCATGCATATAAAAAAAGAAGGCCATCTATAGCCAAAATTCCATGATGGTCTGCTAGATTAATAATATAGAGTGAGAATTCTTTCAAAGAATAAAAAAGGAATTGTAAAAATGAAGAAATAAGGACTAACCTCTATAGTAGAAAGCCTGGGCCTGGGGTGCAAACACATTAGGTGGGTACAGAGGACAATCTCCACCTGAACCAAAAGATCCTGATTGACTTGGGGTCTCCCTGGAATGACCTATAGTTGCTGTACCCTGAGCAGAGTTAGAAGATATTGAACTTTCAGGTATTGATGAACAAAGCTGAAAAACAGAATATATAACATCTACAACATACATATATATATGTACGTACATATGTACTATTTTTATATGAGAATAAAAGAAATAAAGCCAGGGTTTACAACCATACATTAATGATCAAGATTACAAATTAATTGAAGCCACATAATCAAATTTAAAAGTCACGTGACTTTAAAAATGTCACAGTAACTTTTATTCTCACATGAAAAGAGCTTTTTCATCACACATGCGCACACACAGACACATGCACACAGGTTAGGGATTTACCGCTACCTGATCTTTCATGTTGTCTGGTTCAGCTGGTATCTCTTCTGCATGCATGATCAATATGTTCAGTGACATAGTATGGTCGTAGAAACACAGGCAGTAGCAGTAAAATTATTGACCAGACAAAGCTAAATTTGCAGATAGAAAAACTTGAATAAGTAACTACATGCACATAAATCCACACATACAAACCTATTCACACATAATAGATAAAGATCGTGACTATACTTTCAAATCGAAAGCAAACATGTGAATAAGCTCACAGTAAAACGGTATTGCTTGAAAGGAATGGAAGCATAAACGAAGGGTCACATATCCCACAAAAATGAAGTGAGATACCCTTCTGGTTATAGTCTCTCCCGGCCGATGACAAATTAGGCCACAACTATGAAATCAATAAGACGGGGATGCTTGACTTAGAGCGGGATATTTCATCTCTTGTACTTTCCCCACACTATACTTAGCACGCAGATAAAATAGTGAGTAGCTGAATTATTACGGCTGAGTTATCAAGTATGGCAAACAGAATTTTCCCACCAGGGAATACAGCGAGGGTCCACAATTCTTCTTTTCTTTCTGATACCCGAACTTGTGATGATGTCATTCATTCACAGAAAATCAAAATACCCAGATCAACACCAACAATTCTTACCGCACCCAGATCCAAGATTAAAAAAAAGCAAAGAAGATAAAATAACGAACATCGAAACAACAGCTAGAACCAAATAAACATTTTTTTTTTATCGAATTCGAGAACAATTATAAAATTTTCTCAATTTAATCATTGACTTCATCAAAAGAGAAATTTGAGGAAGGTCAAAATTCTATGCAATTATAATTGTAACAATATCAAAGGAGTTGAACGATGTTCACGTACCGGTGGTACGATCCGGACCCTGTGGTGGTTGGGTTGCCGCCATGAATCTGAAGAGGAAGGATCTTCAAAACCCGCACAAGAATCTCACCAAAATACAAATTAGGAACAGAACCTATCTATTCACCTTGTAGTTTAGTACCACGTTCTTAATACATGTAAATTATTTCAATTTCAATATGTTCAATAGAATTGCTAATAATTAGGGTGTTTTGCCGATTCCATTGCTTAGGTTTTGAGGAGAAAATTTATTTAGGAATGTTAATAAGTTAGACTAGATCGATTTTGAAAAAAAAAAAAAAACTTATTTATTTGACTAATTTTTATAAATTATCGTCTAATTAATTTAGTTTTAAAATATATTAAATTTAATGTCTTTGAATTAGTTTAATTAGTTAAGTATATTTTTAGTACAAGAATTTTAGGAGAGAAAGTGATATTCCATTCTAAGACTAAAAAAAAGTTATCGAAATAAAAAGTTATTTTAGAACAATTCACTTAAGCAATTTTTTGAATTTTTTTAATTACTTCAATTATTTAAATTAGATATAAATTATGAGAAATAATTTTTTATTTTTCTTTTACTTTGTCAACTTGTTATGAACTTTCTTTGAACGAAGATTAAATTTGATTAATTTTTAAAAAAAGTTGTCTATTTTTAATTTTTAATATGATCAAGCCCTTACAATAAAATTATGTTAAATATTCAATGGATAGAATTTGTTACTTAGAATAGTCTTATTTAATTAAGTCTAAATTAATTAAATATTTAGTACAGTATGTTGATACTGTAAAAGAAATATAATTAAAACTAATTTAGCAAAAATAAAATAAAATTTCTCGTCCTACTAATAGAAATCAGTTTAGGTGATATATTTGATTCTTTTTATGTAAGGTTTTATATTCAATCTTATGTATATAAAAACATTATTAAAAGAACTAGTGTCATCATATGTAAATGTTTTGAACATAAGCATACCTGTAATATAGAGGGGGAGGGGGGAATCTCATCATGTAACCTAACCTAGCATTACTATATCTATTCAAAATATGTTACATATTGTCATATATAATAACTCAATTAATTTTATAAAAATTTATTTTATAACTTCACTAAAAAAATTAAATTTTTTATTTTGCATTCATTTTTTTATTTAAACTCATTATTTAAATATAAAATACAAAAACTAGATAATAAACAATAACATGTAAAAAAATAAAATTTAAATAATAAGCTTATAAAATATTACTTCACTAAAGTCTATTTAGAGGATCTTATAAAATACTTATATCAAGTAACTCATGACTCTTATAAATTATATATAACTTATTTTAATATTTTTTAATATATTTTATTAAAATAAATATTTATTAGCTTATCTTAATAAATTTTATTTCTACATTTATGACAGTTTATTATTTAAAAAGAGTCTATTGATTAAGTACTTAAATAAACTATTTTTAAAGATATCCTAAATTTAAAAGAAAAATTTATCAATATTAAACTTTAAAGAAATAAAATAGAATAGTAAAAATACATTCTTAAGATGGAACATCTTTTCTATAGAATATAATAGACTTTTTTTATATTAACTAAAAAAAATAGAACAAGTTAAAAGTTATACAAAATCTAAAAATTTATTTTGTCTACACGAAATAGTTCTATATTAAATTATTTGTATTTAAACAATAATAAAAAATATTTTAATATTCTAACTATATAACTTTTATCTTAAATAAATAAAAAAATCAAATAACATGTTATTCATAATTTCTTTCATACTTCATTTTTACGTAATTTTTTAAACCAACAAGGTTGTTGTAATTTAAAATGTTAAAAACAATATAATTAAATATAATTTATAATATTAAAAATTACAATTAATAAAATAAATAAACATGTCAATAAAATATTTTAAGAAAGAAAATATCAATTAATTAAAAAATAAAATTAAAGAAAAATTAATCGATTAATAATACTCATTAAATATAGTTAATTTTAAAATGTAAAAATATTCAAATTTAATATTTAAAAAATATCTTTATAAATTTACAACGACATTATCATAAAAGAAATTAGAGATATAAAATAGGGTGATGTATAGGTAAGGAGTTGGCAAAAGAATGACGAGAGACGAGTGAACAAAAAAAGCAAGCAAAACATTACTGTCTAAAAATGAAAGAGTAGTCGTGTCAACTAGACATTTAATAATAATAAATGTCATAAACATTCAATATATTTATCCCAGTAAATATTTGAATTTTGATTTATTGTTTACTGACACATTAATCAAATTTAATAGACATAGTATTATAATTATAAAGTAAATATTTTTTTTAAGAAGAAAAAAACAGAAAATTTTAGTTTTATCAAATATCGCAATTTGTTTGTACATTTCTCGATTCAAGTAACAATGAAAACTCATTTTTCCTATAATTGTAACATTTGTGTTTGATATCTTGATTATTTTTAAAATTTTCATTTTAATTTTTTTCAAAATTTTAAAGTGATAAATTCAAGTAACTCTAAAATATATTACAAGGTGAAAAAAAAAACTTGTTTGTAGATAAATTCTTATATATTTAATACAAAAATTTAGTTTCTAATAAAAAATAAACTATTCGCGTTTAATCCTTAAAAATCTGTGTCAACGTAAGATGAAAAGTAATAACTAGTTCTATAAATTTTATAATTTTTTTTGTCAGGTAAAATTTAAAGTAAATCTGAAAAGTAAGAAATTAAAAAAATTATTTTATTATAATAAAACAACTAAAATAAATAACAAAATATTTAAAGAGGTGTCACTAACCAATATCAACTCATGTCATGTATTAACATCTAAACTAGGAAGCTAGCAACAAGTTATTTTTTTTCTCTTGAAAATAGTTTTCAATCGTTAGTGTAGTCATTGTAGGAGGACACTGCATGATTTTTTTTTAGCATTAATGTGGTATAAAAAATTAAAAAATAAATAAGTATAAATAAATGTGATAATGTATAAAAATATATGCTACAAGTTTTCAAAATAATAGTTTGAAAAAAATTGAATTCAAACTTTAGCTAAAGTAAAAGAAAAACTAAAATTTTAATTTCAAATTCACATTTCAAACATCATGAGAAGAAATTAAAACTTAAATTTAAAAAACTAAAATTCAAATTCAATTTTAAAAATTGATAAAGTGAAAGAAAAACTAAAATTTAAATTCTTAATTAAGCTCTAACGCTAAAAGTGACACATTGCAAAACGTGTTAAATGTCAATTTTTAATCTGTAAAAAAAAGAACAAAAACAACAAACTAAAAATATGTGACATATGTACATTCTAGTATATAACATTTATTTTTTTTTCTGCTGTTAACACTTATTTCTTTGAATCAATACTTTATAAATTCATTGAATTTATTTATTTTGATAATTATTTTTTAAATAGTATTATTTTAATAAATTATTTTAAAAATACATTATTATGATACAAAAATCCAAAACATGTATAATAACTTTATAATTAATAAATCAACACAACCTAACAAATTACTATATAAGTACTACATTGACATTTAACTAGTCACATTAGACAAACTTTTACGGAAAAAGATTAAAATGATTAACAATTACTAATTATATAGCTTATTTATTTATTTTAAAGACTAAAATAATAAAATTTTTGTATAAAAATAAAATTAAAAAAATAGCATATTATGTAGATTCTCAAAATAATGTTTACAAAAATGTTCTATTTTATATATAATAGAAATGAATTTTAGTTAAAAATTTTTTGTTACAAGTAAATTAATTTTAGTCGACTTTTATTGTTGCTTCTGTATACGTCGTTATTTATCATAAAACCTAATTATAATAAACTTTTTTTAATGTATAAAAAGCGTAAAAAAATCAATTTTAATCAACTTTAGTTAAGAGAGAAATTAATTTTAATTGGTTAAAATTAATTTTTATTAATATATAAAAAAATGTAAAAAAAAAAATCAATTCTAATCAACTTTTGAATAGCTGATATAATTAATTTTTTTTAAAAAAAAAGAAAAAAGAAGAGGATAAGTTGCCTAGAAAATGAAGGGTCAAGTGTAGATGTAAAAATCCAATTATTATCCTCATTATTATTCTCTACCCAAATTTCATATCCCACCATGCATAAATTGTTTTTATAAATTAAAATGAACTTTTTTTTTGAAAGTTTAAATTAAAAAAAATTAAATTAATTTTAATTTATTAGAAGAGTATTATTTTTTTATAAGTACTTATTTAAAGATTTATTCTACAACGTTGTTGAATAAAAGTGATAGAGAAGTTTTGATGAAAGGAGATATGAAAAAATATATTAGTAGAAAATAGATGGCACCTACTGGCCAAATATATTGCTATCCCATAACAAATTGACGTCTATATAATAAAACTATTTCTTGATCAAAGATGGATAATGCACATATGTTTGGAAGGTTTTTTGTTTTTAAACTTCTTTCTTAGGTTTTCCTTATAACTTTACACATTTTGTACACTAATAAAAGTACTATAATTAACTTTTATAATAAATAATAATATGCACAGAAACAATAATAAAATATAATTAAAATTAATTTTTATATGACAAAAAAGTCGACTAAAATCAACTTTTATTATATAAAAAAAGACATATTTGTAAACATATTTAATTTGAAAATCCATGTAATATGCCATTCATTTTATTTTATTTATATAAAAAAGCCAAAATAATGTTATTAAATTTTCATCAACAATTCACTTCACAATTTATTAAAGAATATACATCCACACAATAAAAGAAGGATCAACATTTGTGGAAATGAATAATTAAAGGACCAAACTTAGTCTCACCTTTAGTATTGTTTCTTAATAAAAATTGGAGTTTTACTCAAGTAATTTGTGATAACATTAAATGCTCACCTTTTGGTGAAGCGAAATTCTAATTTTAATTGAAAAATAACCCAAAAAATACCAAAAGAATTATATTTAAATTTTGTCCGTAATTAAAATAGTTCAAATATAATGAAATAAGAAACACGTAGAAAGGGCGTATTTTTTAGGAGGCAGAAACCTGTCCGCATAATTCTCCAGCTCCTTCCTGCCGTCCTGCTCCGATTTCTCCTTCTTCAAAGGGTGTCTAAATGTTTTCATGATTTAAAGGAGCAATGACAAAAAAAAAAAAAAGATTTAAAGGAGCGAGGTATAAACCTCATTATGGGTTGTTTGTCTGCTTAGACTTGCACCGTATCTCGCAGTTCTTGGCCCATGGTCTCAACGGGAAAGAACAGAACACATATTCCCGAAAGAAGAGCTACGATCTCAAACAGAAGAACAGCAGCAGTTTGATGACAACCATGTACTAAACCCACAGCCACCAAAGGACATAGCATTCCACCAATTCTGCCCACCGAGCTTGCAATTCCAACGCCAGTTGTTCTAACTGATGTTGGGTACATCTGCAGTTCGAATAATTCTTCCAAATATTAAATTTCAGCCATGCATAAAAGAAGTACTAGACCAAAAAAATGTTGTCAAACCATCTTCAACTATCAGTATCATCGTCTTACACCCTGTCTATCAAACCACAATGACCATCTATTATTTATGAGAATAAATATTGCACTTCATACAATTGATTGAATTGGTGGCAGAAAGATTTCTGTAAGAATATGGTTAATTTTACTTGACCTGCATTCCATACAAAAAAATTTATACAGCTGAAGGAATGAACTAATTATCTGGAAGTCTGTTTGAAAATGAAGCAACAATCAAATAATAAAACATACATTGATTATCAATTATTTGTTAGAGAAAAATTAGAAATAAATAAATTACACTCCTCTTCATATCATTTGTCAAATTATATCACTTTCAATTTTACATTAAGAAGCTAAATGGATTTTGTAAAGAAGAAATTATAAGATTAATCTTAAATAATTTTCTTGTAAGAATGTGGTTGGGCGTGATTATTAGCAAGTATAAGGTTTGCTCTGGTAAAGTGTATATATAACTTACTCTCTTTGATACTGTTTTTAACAATGCTTATCTGTAACAAGCATAAAGCTTAACAATTTTCAGTTTAAGAGAGAGTATTAAAATAATAGCATTGTCATTGAATAGGGAGCCTTATTATTTTAGTCTTATTGGGTTGGACTAATTGTACTTGTATTTAACAGTATAAATAGGTGTCATTGGTTTGTAATTTTTGCATCAGAAAATGCTTGTTTTGTTTATGGTCAAAATCAATTTCCCAGAGTGTCACGTTTCAATGAGAAATCTGTGGCTAAAATTAGTTTAGACATACATTCTGATCACATTCAATAGTTTAAATCAATATACCAAAATTGAAAACAGACATTGTTTATCTCCAGTACTATCCATTTTAAAAAGATGGTTCAAAATTATTAGCAATAAATAAATACGTTACCTCGGGTGCATATATATACATAATTGTGAAGGTTGTTGTGATGCATATGCGAGCTCCAAACAAAAGGCTTGTTTTTAGGTCTTCAGGCAGATAAAATACTAGTGGGAGAAGGAAAATACAGCATACAAAGAACATGGTTGACATTGAGAGCTTACGACCAAATCTGTCTACTGCCACAGCTGATAAGAGAAGCCCAGGAAGCTCTGCACAAAATTAAGTAATGTATCAGTCATGCATTATCTGGCATTGGGTGAATAAGAAAACTCTGAAATCACTGATAAAAATACCTGCAAAACTAGCAATAAAAACACTTCTGTAGCTAAGGTCCTGGGACTTCTCTGTCTGCAATTTATGTGGCATGCATTTACTATGTCCACTCAACTCAGAGGTCAACAACACAAGGCCATAATATGAAAAGGCATTACCAAAGAATACTGCCCATAATAGAAGGGTTGACCTGGCCAATCTTGGTGAGAGAAGCATTGACCATGATGACATACCACCTAAATTGGAAACCATTCCTTCAGAATGCTCAACTTCATTTTTTCTTGGAGAGAGCAAGGAAGTGTCCTCTGAAGTGTTATCAATTTTGTGTAGCTCGATTTCCCGGTCAGAAACAAGGATACCGGAAGGAAGTTTTCTTCCATTTACTCTTGCTATTTTCTCCAAAACATTAATTGCATCAGTGGTTCTACCTTTTAAACATAGGTATCTTGGTGACTCAGGAGTTACTTTGTAGAAAAGTAGAAGGAAAGATGTGGGAAGAGAAGATAGTGCAAGAAGCCATCTCCAACCCAGTTTTGGCATCACAATCTACAAGGAATGTTGCAGCAGGTGAAATCATCAGCTCTATAATTTTTCAGTCATGCAGAAAGAATAGAAACTAGAACTATAATATCCAACTTGAAAAATTTGCCAGATCATTTGCAAGATTACTAGTCAAGTACATTCCTTAACAATGAGAGGTAAAGCAGCAGCACTTTCTAGGCTAAACGAAGAAAGTACTCATTTCTCTGGGGCTTGTATCTTATAAAATTAGAAATAGAATTTGCAATTCACTTAGTTAGTTCTTGAATCTGGGGTCAATTAAAAAAATTCTAAAAAGTAGGCTTGAAGCAACCTTTAATTTTGGAGCTCTCATAACAAATAAAGAAGTTTAAGTAATTCCAAAATGTCTGAGATGTGAATCATTAAATATCAATTAAAAGAATTTGACATGTGAATCTAAACCCATGCACCGTTCTGAGGGTGAAACTGATGATCTAGATTCACGGTTAACTGCAAAGCTAGGAAAGAAACATAAATATGCTTTCCCTGTTTTTGAGAAAAACTGAAAATTTAGTTTCATAACCTTCTACTTTGGAATCGAAGGAGGGAAAAGGCTGATATATATAGTAAGACATCAAAAGTTTAAGAACTTTCTTGCAAACTGCAATAATAATTAATGAAAATTTATAAGGAAATGAACAAAATTTACCCATGCAAGAGAGGCCTCAAAAATTGTACCAAGAGTCCAAAATGCTGAAAAAACAACCATCCAGGTACCTCTATTGGGGGCTGGAACAAACTCTAGAAACCAAGATGATAATACAGGGCCACCTCCCAAACCAACACCAACCAGAGAACGAAAGAAAATTAATAATATATAGTTAGGAGCAAATGCACTAAGAAAACCAGCCATAGCAGTAACTGTTGCTGTGATAAGGAATCCTTTCCTGAATTATTGAAGTAAGCCAAAGAAAAAGATAATATTAAATGAACTCACTATGCTAAGTATACTAGAAAATAAAGCATTTAAATTGAAATAGACATAGGTTTTACTTTTTGAAATAATAGGAGGCACAAAATAACTAAAGAAGAAACCCTGATTAGTTGGAAATTAATGGTTGGCTTAGCGTGGCACCATCCTTAACATAATATGCTTAGGACCAATTTAATATATTCTGAAGGTAAACATAATGATATGTAAATCCATTGGAAGATTTTAAACAAGGCATAGCTAATCCACTAATCCTAGATTTGGTTAGCAGGCCACTGCCCCCACGCTCCTTTTTGTGAAATACTTGACAAATGTCAGAGCATCTAAAAGATGCGAAGAATAATAATAAACTGGTGGAAAAAGAGAAACCTACCTCCTTCCATGTTTATCTGAAACAATGCCCCATGAGTATGCCCCAATTAGCATGCCAGCAAAAACCGCACTGGTTATCAAGCTCTCTTCATGAGGAGAAAGACTCCATGCAGTTTGAACTGCAGGGCCAACAAAAGAGAGTAGCATCATTTCCATTGCTTCTGAGACCCAACCAATGCCAGCATAGGCAAGCACAAAAATTTGGAAGTTTCCAAAACCCAAAGCCACAAGAGCATCATCTACTGTGTAGCTTGGGCCTTCAGCTCCCGTCTACAATTTCATATGGAAAACAAAAGCAAAACAAAACAAGCAAAAACAAAAAGGAAAAATTAAAATGAGACAGGTAATACTGTTGCGATCAATATAATGGTCGTGTATATTTGTCGCAATCAGGTATACGATTGTGTATGCAGATAATAAGGTTGCAATCTACGTATGACAAATCGAACGAGATAAAATAAGATGATAAATCAAATCATTTGAATTGTACCATTTTGTTTTCGGAAGAGAGAAAGGTATGTTGGAGAAGTTGGATCTTGCCTTTGTTTCTCCCTGATCTTCTCAGAGTAATCAAAATTGAGATGATGATGGTTCGAAGAAATAGAGTTGAATTTGAAACTCGTCCCTTTTGATTATTTTATGTATAAATATTTATTTATATTCCACTTTCGACCTTGAGAGTTCATATCGTTGACGAAGAGCGTACTCTCCTGAAGTTTAAGTTTTATCTAAGACCAAGACTCTTCTCCCTCTTTTTTGGGGGTTCGGAGCTCCTCCTGCTTTCTCCTCGTTTCTATGAAATTCACTTTTCTTATTTAGCTAGTATTCAATATTGTTGCTGTTTATTATTATTATTATTATTATTACTATTATTATTTATGTTTTGTTATGTTTTTTATATAAATATATGTCAAAAATATATCTTAAATATTAAAAGATACCTAAAATATTCTCTCTAACGATGGGATGAAATTACTCTCAACTCTATTTGAATAATGTTATTTCTATTTTATAATTTTTAAAATACCTTTTTTATAATATATGTTTCTTTGATTTTTTTTTCTATTATATCGTTTATCTTGCATTTATCTCTCTCTCTCTTTCTCTCTTTATTATAAAAACTATTGTGAAGTAAAAATAATGAAACTCTTTAATATTACATTCGATATGGATATTTAGATATTTATGTCCAAACTCCTATCGAAGAGTTGTTTCATGTTCTGGTTATAAAGCTGACATAGTCAACGTTCCTCAATAAGTAAACTTGAAAAATAACTTCATAATAATGGTACAATGAGACAAAGTCATAAAGACAAAGATATTAGACATTGATAATAAAAATTAAGGTTTTTAATTTTGAGAAAAGAAGAATAACCTATTATATAATTTGTCAGTTTTGATCATGAAATTGTAAGACTACCGATATAATATTAATCTTTAATTTTGATTTAATATATTAAATAATGTTTGGATATAAAGTGGGATGAGAGGATCTAACTTCTTGTTTTGATTTGCTAATGTTGAAATATAATATATACATTCAACTCTTAAATAGCAAGTGAAAAATCATACAAAAGATTTGACTATATGATTGATTAAATAATTGAGAGGATAAGTGCATGTTAATAAGATATACAGCATGGTTGATTGCACAATTCAAAAAAAGATTATATTAGAACATAATGATTCTATTTTGCTGTGGATTTCCCTTCATATATTGAAAGTATTATGAATAATTCCTCTTTTTGCAATCATTTATGAAGATTGAATTTTAACATGTTATCACTTATTATTTCTAGTAGGAATATAAGGGTATTCTGAAAATTCATCTTCTATGATACGACATCTTTGCAAGTATTTTTAACTTCTACTTATATGACGTGAGAGGTGTACCTGCAAAAAGCACTCCAATAATAATTTAAGTAATAAATGTTATTAAATATTCAAAAGTCAATTACTTACCTATATTTTTTATTTTTCTTTTATAGGCAATTTTATGGACTAATGAACTTTATGTGTCAACCTTGTGTTTAGCTAAATAATTAATGATTTTCTACCTTAATTTGTAAAAAATGTCTCTTACCTTAATTATATTAAAATTTTAATATTAAATTATTATTCAACTCATGAATAAATAAATTAGTTTGTATATTCTTTAGTTGCTACTTTTCTATCTTTGTAGTTGAAAGTTATAACAGTCTTTAATTTTATCTTGCATTAAATTTATGGCCTAACTAACAAATCATGTCAAACAAATAATTAAATTAAAATTTTAACATTAAATAATATTCAACTCACTTGATGAAGAAACTAATTTTCCCAATTTTTAGTAGTTATCTTTTCTATGTTTATAGCTTAATGTTATAAATTTATTGTTTGATCTTCTCTCAATGTTCTAAATTCATCGCTAAAAAAAAGTATTATATTAATATTATATAAAAATACTTGAATGATAAATTAAATTTAACTCTCTTAATTTCAATTAGATGATGAGTTACACTTAAAAAAATAGAAAGATAAATATAATTTGAAAAATAAATAAAAATATTTATTATTGTACCATATTATCACATAAAAATTATACTTTAAGAACCAACCATCAGGAAAAAAAAAAAAAAGCTAGAACAAAATTGATAAAATAAAATTAAGAAAGATTAAAAGTCATTGTTTTAAAATGAAAAATTTAAGATGTAAGAATAAAGAGATTAAAAAATTATAAATGATTATTAAAACAAAGAGATAAAAAAAAAATATAAAACTCATTTTAAAAAAATTAAAACTTTTAAAAAACATTTGTGACACTTTCAAATTCTTTAAAAGCAAATTTAAACAGCAAATAATAAATCAACTTGTGACATCTAATATCACGAACAAAAATTGTGTTAGTTTGTGAATTTGTTTAAGAAGAAGTTGTCGATAAAAACTATTTTCTTTTGTTGTAACTTATTTATAAATAATTATTTTTAGATAATATTTTATTAATTTTTTTATAATAATCAACATTTCTTTTAAATTTAAAAAAATACAATTAAATGACTTAATTATATTTTTATTCTTATAAAAATAATTTATTTTATAAAAATAACACTTTTTAAATTTTTTTAGGAAAAAAGTATTAAAATTTTATTTTTGATATTTTAAAAAATATTTAAGATTATTTCTTACATTAATATTATGGTTATTTTTTATATTTGATTGTTTAAAAAAAATCTTAAAAATTATATTATTTTAAAAATTAATAATCAATTCATCTAATTGATTGAAAGTTCGATTTTTAATTAATTGTGGGTTTTTTTTTTTTGTTCTGGAAAAATTGTGGGTATTGAACTTTTGGTGGGTTATTAGACTTGGGTCTGAAGTTTTTGCTGGAGTTGTTGATTTTCGCGAAATAGGGTGTTTTTGGTAGATCTTGTGGTATACAATTGAGAATTTGATGCACTATCTCCTCCTCGACGCTGATGGCAACCTCAAGGTCTCCGACTTCGGCCTCGTGGCGCTGCCGGAACAGGTCAAACACGGCCTCTCCAGACCGCGTGCGGCACTTTGGCATACACCGTGCCAGAGATCCTCTGCTGATGCGGCTACGATGGTTGTAAGGCTAACGCGTGGTCCTGCAGCGTCATCCTCTCCGTGATCCTCGCTGGCCACTTTCCGTTCGACGACTTTAAACATTCCAACGATGTTTAAGAGGATTTTTCGGCGACGTCGAATAAGGGGAGGAGGAGGTTTACTTCCGATAAGAAGGTGGACGTGGTTGAGGCGAAGGTCAAAGAGGTTGGTTTGAGGGTTGAGGGTGGGAAGAATGGTGTGATTGGGTTGGGGAAAGGGTGGAGATGGTGCCTGGGCGACGACGAGCTCGCCGAAGAGTATGAGGTTCGAGAGTTTGAGGGAGATGAGGGAAAGAGGAAGGAGAAAGCCGAAAAAAAAAGTTAATTTAAGGAACTATTTTACAAAATTTAATATTTTAATTATACGATATTTAAAATAGATGAGTTGAAATTCTATTATGTTATTTAGTATTTAACGGGGAATTAAATTTTAATTTTAATTTTTTAAAGAACTAATTATAAATAGTGTTACTTCTGTGGAGAATAAAAATATATTTAGCTTGTTTAATTGAATCTCACCGTGTTACACAAGTGATATGCTATTTTTTCTGTTCAAATTATACTTCCGATATTTTGACCGTAAATAATAGTCCATGCAATCTTACGGATTATTTGCCGATCAGTAACGCAAAAATTGCTAATGAATAATAACTATGGTCACATCTTTCTTCAAGAAGATCCGAATGTCAACTTCCACACTTTTCTTTCCATCTCTCTATACACTTATAAGAAAATTCAGTTTAACACATTTTTTTTAAATAAGATGATATAAAAAGATTAAAAAAAACTGCACAAGTTTCTTTTTTTCTTTTTTGTTACTTAATTACATTACAATGTCTGCATGCATCTGAATCATACCACGAGTTTGAATCAATGAGGTAACCCACGAACTACAACATACAAATTAATGAAAAAGGACTTGGTCCATTTTCGTGCTTGAATGAGAAACATTACCGGATCTGGACATATCTTTATGACCTGTACGCATTAACCTAACCTGCATAATATATATGAAAAATGATTCATTTCCTCTAAAAATAAGTACTAATTAATTTATTATATTTAATAACATTTTATTAATTTAAACGTTGATTTAAGAATTCTAAAAAATAGATAATGTTTACAAAAGTTTATAAAATTTAGAAATTATTTGATATTTCAGCAATACTTTTATTTTAATGTGTATTATATTTTGAAAAGTATAAACAAATGTCAGCTGTAAGATCATACATTTATAATGTTATAATATGTGATATGATTATACAAAGTTTATTATAAAAAAAAGTTGAAACAGTAATAATTTTGAATAAAAAGAATATTTATAGAAAAATAAAAAATAGAAATATGGACGTAAAGCTTACACGAAACTTACAATGAGAGAGAAAAGGACGGGATGGAGGGATGGGTTTGAAAAATTGTCGTCATCCGCCGCTTAGTGTAATTTAGTAGTAGCTGCAGGCACCGAAAGCACACAACACAAGGTAAAAGAACAGAGAAATTGCATAACCCTCTTCTCCAAAGAAAAAGGATGAAGTTAGAAGTGAAGGTAATCTCCAAAGAAATCATCAAACCCTCTTCTCCAACCCCACACCATCTCCGTCATTACCAACTCTCTTTTCTCGACCAAGTCTCTCCCATGGTGTATAACCCTGTCGTTCTCTTTTACTCTTTCCACGGTATCGCTGACTTCAACAGAACCTCCGTATCCGAAAAGCTCAAGAAATCTCTGTCTCATGTTTTAACCCGGTTTTACCCCCTTGCCGGCCGACTGAATACCAACAGTTTCATAGACTGCAACGACAAGGGCGTTCCCTACTTAGAAGCAAAAGTGATGGGCAAACTTGTGGATGTTATTCAAAATCCAGTTCCCGGAGATCTTAACCATTTGGTTCCATTTGTACTTGATGATATCACCAATATAACATTTGGTGTTCAACTTAATGTTTTTGACTGCGGTGGTATTGCAATCGGTGCTTGCCTTTCTCATCAGATTGCAGACGGTCTATCGTTTTTCACTTTCCTGAATTGTTGGGCTGGCATTGCTAGGGGAGAAGCTGAAGCTGTGTTGCCAAATCCACAGTTTGTTTCAGCTAAGCTCTTTCCACCGAAAAATATATCTGGATTTGATCCTCGAAGTGGGATCATGAAGGAGAACATCGTCTGCAAGATGTTTGTATTTGATGCTTCTACTGTAGAAAATCTTAGGGCAAGATATGCTTTGGAAAACGAGAAGCGCCCTACCCGAGTGGAGGCCTTATCTGCTTTCATTTGGAGTCGTTATGTGGCTGTGACAAGAGAGCAATATGGTCCACATAGAACATATGCTATGATTCACGCAGTGAACCTGCGTCCAAAGATGCAACCACCACTGCCTCCAGATTCCTTTGGGAATTACTACCGAATCACTATGACGATTCCGTCGCTGAGTACTGGAGAGGAGTGCGTGAAACAGGTGAGAGATGAGATTAAGAAGATTGACAATGATTATGTCACAAAACTCCAAGAAGGAAACGAGCATTTGGATTTCCTTAAGGATAGTTCTTATAGAGTCCTTGTTAAGGGGGAATTAGTCTCATTTAATATTACTAGTTTGTGTAGGTTTCCTCTGTACGACGCTGATTTTGGATGGGGAAAACCAACGTGGGTAGGTTCACCCGCTTTAACTTTTAAAAATCTTCTTGTGTTCATAGACACCAAGAATGGTGGTGGCATAGAGGCTTATGTTAGCTTAAATGTGGAGGACATGTCAAAGTTTCAAGCAGATGAGGAGTTGCTTGCCTGTATCAACAATAAGTAGTGAGATTTAAATCATAGTTTTTTTTTTATATCTTTACCAATGTGTTATTATGTTTGAACCAAATAATATTATGCTGTTCTATCTAGTTAAGAGTTTTATTAATATTTGTTATAATACTTGAATATCATTTGACATTGTAAATATAATAAAAAAATTAAATGTATTGAATTTAGAAAAGAAAAACATAAAATAACATATTATGGATACCTTTTAAATAATTATAAGATTATATCGAATATATCAATCTAACACAAATCTAATAGATTTTTTTAAGTCAAATGAAAAAGTGCTGATTATTAATATTACTACTTTCTTTATCAACTTGCTAAAATGCATAGTAATCTTGTAGAATTCATATAATTTTTAAATATGCAAAAAAAAAAATTTAATATTATTTTATTGAAACATAAGATAACATGCTAATGAGATAAAGATCATAAAAAATGTATAATTATTCTTAATAATGCATGCGTTATTGTTATATATACTTGTATAAAATAATATTGCACTTTTTTACTTGATCAAATGTTTCTTGAAAATGTCTACTGTCGTTCCGATATATTTATTGTCATTCTTATTTTAAGTAATCTTTTGTCTACAAAATATTTTCACTTTTTTTTATAACTATATTAATAATAAAAATATTTTAGATAAAAAAAATATTTTAATAAGAATGATAATAAACATAGTAGAGTGACAATAGACATTCATGTACCTGACATAGAAAATTTCATGTTAAAGATGTTGTAGTTAGAAACAAAAGTTATAAAGTAATTCACATGTTAAGCACTTACAAATATACTATATTAAATATACTATATTAAATATATCAACTCACTACATATGTAATAGAATTTTTCTGGAACTAAAAACATAAAAATAGGTCTTAACACTTCGTTCTTATTATCAACTGATATCATTATATTATTTATACGTTAAAAAATTTTATTTTCGGAAGAGATTTTGATTTTAGTTTTTAAAAATTTTCATTTTGCTTTTAATTTTTCTAAATTTAATATTTTTATTTCTAGTAATAATAATATTTTAAAAAATTGACTGTCATAAAAAATTATCACTTAATATTTTTTTAATTAATCTTGTTAAAGCCTAAATTAATTAATTAATATTTATGATTTTAGAAACTAATTTTACTTATTACGTACTCGTTATACCTTTACTCTCAATTCTCATTGCTAATAGATGAAATTTAACCTCATCTCAGAAGGGTTATTTTTAAACATGCAGGGTAGAGAGTTCTTCCTAAATAGACACATTATTTATTCTAAAAGCATTTTTCTTTTATACAATCCCGAAATAGTTGATTCATTGACAAATTTTCTGTAGCTTCCCTTCTACTTTTAATTCAAATTCCAACTCTTATCTTGACTTTTCACTTTCTTCATCTACTACCTCTCTTATATATTATTTAGGATAATAAATGCATAATTAATAAATTAAATTTATGTTAATATATTTTATAATTTTTATTTAAAAAATTTAATTTTAAATAAATTATTTCAAAATAAAAAATTTGTTATTCCTATCCCTTCCTTCAAAAAATTCCTTTCCCAAACAACTTCTTAGTTACTGTATATCTATCTTTTCAATTTTCTATCATATCATAAAATTTTCTAATTCCTATTAAGCTTTTGCTTTTTTCACTTTTTATATATTCCTGAACCAAAAACATACAATCAAGCATTGAAACATGCTCTTGGAAAACAATATTGAACCATGAAATTTATGCTTCAGAACCAAAACCACACTTGGCTTCTCACGTATTGACCTTGCCCGTGGAAATAAAATGTTGATGGCAGCGTTGAAAGTTACGAAGTTTGGTTAGTTGCAAAATGTACTGGGAAAGGAATCAACTCGGTTCCACCCTTAGGAAAAAGAGACCGAATACCTACTCGGCATACTAAACCGGGTACCCCTCGTCAGGATCAAAAGGTAAATGTACTGGGAAAGGAATCAACTCGGTTCCACCCTCAAGAAAAAGAGATCGAATACCTACTCGGCATACTAAACCGGGTACCCCTCGTCAGGATCAAAAGGTAAATAATCCAATTAAAGATAATCAAAATACTATGGGCCTCAATATAAAAACTGACTCAGGCCCATTAGCCCAATAGAATGTCTATAAAAAGAAGGTAAGAAATACAGGTAAGGGGTTGACTTCCCATCATTAAATAATATTTATTGCTCAGAACCGAATCCTGACTTTACCATCAGAGTGCCTTTTGCAGGTATTCTCCTTATCAGCGAATCAACAAGAAGGACGCCTGATCAGAGGTTTGAAGACAGTTGTTTTTCAGGAAGGAACACAAAATAATACTCTAAAAATAGATTTGGATAATTAAGTGATTGAGGAGTGTTAGGAATACATTTTTTAAAATATTTTTTTAACACAATTTTAATTACTAGTTCAAAGTTATTGAAAATTATAAAAATATAAGAGTGAATAATTAAATTAGGAGTAAAAAAGAGTAACATACCATTTTTGTAATTTTTAATATATTTTAGCCAATAACTAAGAATGTGCTAAAAAGAGTGTTTTCGAGAATATATTAACATTTCTCATCAGAAAATTTTCTTTAGTGATTTAGTTGACAATGTTAGATTGACGCTTCCTTTAGTTGTTGACAAGAGTTGACTTTTGCATAATTTATATGATAGTCTCACTCAAATCCCAAAGTCCAAATACACCTAAATACCTCAATATTTTTTCATTGGTGTCTTCACTCAAACACACTCATATAAACAAAGAGAAGATAAAAGAAGCAAACTTATTTTAAGCCTAAACTAAAGGAGAGACCTTTGACCATTCTAAAATAGTAAAAAAAAAACAAAAAACTATACATAACAAATTGCCATTTTATTAGAAATTAAGTGAAATCGTAATAAACTTTGTTTACGCTAATAATTAGTTGACTAATTTGTTTACCAAGTTATTGAAGGAAATTTAAATGAAATATATTTATAACAAGTTTGATATATATGATATGTATGCTCCACCTCAAGGAGCAGTATTAATATATAAATATCATGATTAGACTCATTAATATGCAAATATAGTAATTAGAAATATAATATCAAGATTATCTTTATTAGATAATATTTTATAATTAATATTAGAATGAACAATATTAATTGAGAATTAAAAAAAATATTTATATTAAACTTAAGTTATGAAAGAAGACTTTGGAATACAAGGATATTTGCATGATCATAAGTAAGATAAAGTATCCATTACAAGTTTAACAAAAAAATAAAAATAAAAATAAAAATAAAAATAAAAATAAAAAAATATAAAAAAAATATATAAAAAATTATTTGTAATTGGACAATACATATCAAGTTGAAAGAAAAATTTTATGGTACATGAATTCTATTTAGTAGTCAATGTTAACTTAAAAATTCTTTTTAAGTGAATAAATGATTATACAGAAAATATTGTATACATAATAATTCTGGAACATCATTAGAAGCACTAATTAAAAAAATGAATAACATAACTTTTAGTTTAACAAAATAAAACAGAGAAATTTTTTGAAAAACCTTAAGAAAATTATTAAAAAAATCTATTAATAAATAATATTACTAAAATTTTAGTTTTAAACCAAAATTCAATATCATGGTGTAATCCATGTAAAATATAGATTTTTGTGTACTTGTATAGACCTTTGGGTCAAATGAATTACACAAATAAAAGTTTCAAATATTACAATTTGTATAATATAAAAAAACTAAACAATTGTTCTCTCTTACAAATTAAAATAACATTTTCTTGGGGGTAAAATCTTGTTTGTTTAATAAGTTTCCATCCCAACACAAACCGAAAAAATGGGAATATGGATAAACAATGGTTAAAAAAAGGTACTACATCATGAATACAACCCAAGAGTAGAAACGTATAACTCAGTTCTATTATTGAAGGCATGTCGTCAATGATTGACTACCTTCCTTCCATCCATAGTATTGCTGCTGAGCTAGCTCTCACCGCTCTCTCAAACCAATCTTAAAAGACATCTTGTTATTCATGTCTATAGCAGCCTGGTCTGTTAGGTCAGAAGTTTTATGGTGACCAAAAATATGTTCAAGTTATTCTTTCACTATAAAAGGCAAGATAAACATATCCTTACCATTGATTGCACGATGTATTCCAATTGAAATCTATATTTCTGTATAGTTTCAATTTTCAAAGGAGAAATTTATAAACATATTTAATTACTCAAGTCGTAGATTTGGGTTGCAGGTGAATATATACAGGAAAAATAGTTACATGAAATCACTTGAGGCAGCCATGTAGAAGTTTTTATGAAATCTTCCGGGAAGTGTTTTGTCTCAACAAGGGGGGATCAGGTATTCTTCTCCAAGACAGAGAGTGCCGGTGTCAAGTAGTTATTTGCTTTGTCGGGCAAGTGTGCAACCTAAGCAGACACAAATAACCAGTTTCCATGAATGCAGACACGATTGTAAGATTTTTATCTAATTTTTTTTTCTCTTTACGAAAATGCTATCAATCATTGTTCCCTTACCAGCTCATAGAGCTCTCTCCCACCCTCAGCAACATACTCGTAACATACCTATAGAGTATAGACAAGGTTGAAGAGGTTTAGTTTCGTTTGGATTTATGTTCAATCTAATAACCAGGTAGGGTTTACTCACATCAAAGCTTTTGTTTCTTGCAGTTGTATCATGTAATGCCTTCACACATATATCAGCTACATCAGCACAGCTAATGCCCTAAAAATCAATTTTAACAATTGGCATTAATCAGATCGGTTATTACTATAATACTAAGTAGATTACGGGTATTTGAAATGCTCAAGTAAATAGTAGCTCAAAATTTAGAGGCGTGTATCTGATTGCAACTGTCGGATCCAGAATGATAGTGATAGTACAGAATAGAATAGAATAGACTAGCCTGAGATATTCTGTTTCCTTGATCAAATATCAGAGCACGCTGCCCACCAGGTTCTTCCTGTCAAAAACAGTTTAGTTAGTTAACAATAGAACGCTAAATTATATTTCTACAATTAGAATGCAGAGGACAAATTGATTTACGGCTTTAGATGAAGATGAAATGAAGTTTTACATACGTGAACTATCGGCTTCAGAATTTATCCAAAATCTTTACTTTATAAACTTGATAATAGAGGTGCAAAACAAACTATTGATGCTTAAAATTACACCTACAAGGGAAAAAACGCTAAGAAGTACATTTTAATAAAAACTGATCGAAGTATAACCCATGTTCTTCTTTTAAGAAATGTGAATAATTTATTCATATTTTTAAAGTCGAACCAGGCATTTAACCGATGAAGGCATTATTACACGATTCATTGGTATTATTGTTGTCAAAGAAGTGATAATTAAGCATACATATTTTAATTTTATATATTGTATCAAACAATAAAGTAATAAACTAACATATTGAGAAAGTAACATGCATTCACAATAAATATAACAACTTATTCAAGCTCAACGAATAAACATTTGTAAGTTCATATGATTCACCCTAGAAATATAAAAGTTGAAACATGATATAGCATTTAAAATTATGTTGTTTAGTCCTTTAAAAAAAAAAACTTAATATGGACTTGTGTAGGACAATTATTTTAAAAATTGGTCCAAATTAGTCACACAAATATTGACAAACAGCACAAGGCAATTTAAAAAAATACGGTAAGGGTAATGATCTAAGCTCCATAAAATCTAGAGCAAAATGTCAGTGATGTTGGTAGGGCCGTGTGGCTCCCAATGACATTTGGCTTCACAACAGGTTTCAAGGAAATCACTCACTAATTTCACTTTTCATTTTCTCCCTCACATTCAAATGTCACAGAAGCACTTATTTGTGCTACAAAATCAGGCACGTGTTCAACCTACAAGCTGCAATAGGAACTTTACCTGCAATGGACCAGGACGAACTATTGTGTATCCAAGGCCGGATCTTCTTAAGGAATCTTCACCTGCCTGGGGAATTCAACATTAACATGATCACACACAAGCCCATATTAAAGGAACGGAAATACCAGTTTTCAACTAAGTAAAAGAAACAAAACAAATAATGAAACCAACCCTCTTTGCTTTAAGAACTTGCTCTCGCCTGGAAGGTTCAATTCCTAGTCCAGAACATGAAACTAAGACAAAATCCGTTTCTTGCCCAGTCTGCAGTACATTCACATGCAAAATTTACATAAGGATGACAAGTATTATTAAGATTAACAGTAGTGCAGAACATATACCATCCAGATGCCTTGTAAGGCAGTCATTTTTGTTTTAGTTATTTCACAATATAGGCACCACGCAGAACAAGATCTGCAAGAGAGCAATGAAATGTATGCAGTACAAATGCTTTTCGCACTGTCAAGTAAAAATACACGAGACAATAGCATTCTTGGAATAAATTATTTGAATAAAGAAGATGACAATAGTTCCCTTCATGACTTGCTCTAGAATATCAATTTACCTACAATCCTACAAGAAAGAGAGGTATAATTAATAATAATGATGGGGGAGGGGAAGGGCCAGTTTCAACAAAAGCAGATTCAAGTTGTTAGCACTTGGACAAACAAATGCCAAAAATTAGAAAGCTGCCAGACCCTAGTATTTTAAATTGAAAACTACCAGCACAAAAAATTTTAGTATGTCAATCTCCTCCAAGTGAATAAGATAAACAATTTTGATAAGGAAATATAGTGTTTATGAGAGAGAGAGAGAGAGAGATAAAAAAGCAGAAAACATAATTCAGAGAGCATTATGAAATACAAAGCTAGAAATATAATATAAAACAATTCATGTGGCTTCACTCAAAAGCTTAAGCTATTAGGCTAAGACACCAATGGTTTTAATATTATATTCTAACATGTCCACACATGTAAGTACCCATGGATACGGATCAAGTGCAGTTAACGCGGAAACTGCACGTGCAGTTTTATTTTTGCTTAAGCAAAAATACAGAAAACGACAAAATTTTTTATATAAAATTGGCTTAAGCAAATTTTTTTTGGTTTATGCGAATCATGTTTAGCTTAAGCAAATTTTGAGTTTTTTTTTCTCAATCTTCTTTTCTGCTTCTCATGCCTAATACTCTCTCCTCAACCTTTATATTTAACATTCTTTAACCTCCATATTCAACCTTCTTCCTTCTCTCACCTAACTCATTTGATCCTCTTCCAACTCCCTCTTTCCTTCACCCATGCCCAACTCTTCTCTTCTTCTTCTTCTCACTCTCTCTCTACCTCATACCTATATCTCTCTCTTTGTTTCATCCCAAACTCTCCACCCTCCTCTCCCTTCACCACCACCCTTATACCACCCATCTTCTTATTTCTATCTATTCTCAATTCTCTCTACTTCCCTTACCTAACCTTCATATCCTCAAATGCACAAGATTAACTTAAGCTAAACAAGATTCGCTTAAGCGAATCTGCAAAATTCGCTTAAGCCAATTTTATATAAATTTTTTTTTCGTTTTCTGTATTTTTGCTCAAGCGGAAATGAAATTGCACGTGCAGTTCCCACGTTAACTACACTGGATCCGTATCCAGTACCCATTGGTCTAGAAGCATGGACAATGCACAGGCCCCATTATCTTGTGCTTAAATTCATCCCTTTTCTATTAGAAAATGAACCACGCTTAACTCAATCTCAAAAGTGTGTCAACCTTAACAGCCCATACTATTATTGCATCCTACCACTTCAGTATCTCAAAGAAAAAAATGGTATATCTATTTTATATTTCTCATTCATCTAACAACTTCCACAGTAATCTTCAATTGAACTAGTGATTTTATGACATAGGGTGAACAGTCGATAAAGTGTATAACCAACATTGTAGTTTATGCCACAATAAAAAAGAAATTGCATTGAAGCACCTACAGGAAGCGCTTTTATATATTCCAATATCAGCTTAAAGCTTCTCAAATCCTGCTTCACTGTTGCATTGGCTTCGAGAGGCCTCTGAAACAAGAATGAACATAGAATCAGCACATTTCAATTGTGTACTGTTGAAAAATAAAAAAGTTAGAAGTCCTGATAGGGAAAAGAATGGAAAAAATTATGTTAAAAAAAAAAAAGGAAATAGGACAACTTTGTAAATCATTGCTTCTGTTAAACTCGCCAGTACTTGTTTTGTCACATGTTACTTTACTTTGTTTGCTTGAATGAGAACAAGAGAGCTTTGATAAATATGTTCACATCTAAGAAATGACAATCTAGTTAATTTGCAAAGAATAAGGATAGGAAGTTTATTGAAAATGTAGTCATAGATAAGGAGTGTTAGAAAAAAAAAAGGGATTTGCTTAAGGGGTGCTATCCTTTAATCATCGAGCATCGTTTAATGAATTCAGACAGGTTTCATTAATTCAATTTCATATATCGTTCTTTAGTTGTATGTCAATATAGAAAATCATTGATGAAAGATGAGACCACCAACTATATATATTCATGTTGCAGGTTATTACTGTTGGAAATAAGGTAACCAAAGTAATTATAAGTTAATTAGGTAATTAGGGATATAATGTAATAACGGTAATTAACAATAACTCCTGGTATTTATTACTCTCAGTATATATATTTTGCCCCATTGAGTGATTGAGACACGGATTTAATCCATATGCTCTGTCTTTTTTTTCTTCTCTTTCAATATAATACCTAGAGCCTAAGGAAAGGCAACCTCAATCCATGGCCATACAGTAGGTCCACTGTCTATTGGTGTCAAAATTTTGCTGAAAAATTTGCCTCGTCTATGGTTTCTACTCTCCTTTTCCTATCCCGGCTATGTTTCCCACTTCACCTTCACATTTAAATATGATCTCAATCTCTTTGAAAAAAATTGGAAAGATAGTCACAGACTCCCTCTTAATTTTAACTTACATGTTACCCTCTTTGTCTATAATTTATGCATTTGTTTAGTTTGTTAACTACTATTATATAAAGTTATTTAACTCCAAAATGTTTTGGGTCACATAGTATGGATGTTTTGAAAGCTTCAAATGGGAGAAATTTCAAATCATTTACTATAATTAATTATTGGTATTTCATAAAAATATAAATATTTCAACATTTTGAAAATCATTTTGAGCCCATCTACTCACAATACAACCCTAAATTATCTTGCAAAGTAACGTTCCTTCTTAAGTTTAGGCTTTTAATCAGACACCAACACTCAATAACCTTCTATTATGTAGAACTGGTAAAAGGGGCCAACCAAACAAGTCAAATCAATTTAGCCCGCTAAGACATAGGACTTGGGCTTTAGACTTGAATTAATTTTGGTTTATTTATGTCCGACCATATGAACTTTTCTTTGGTTAGGTTCAGGTTAGCCCAATCTATTTAAGGATAAAACGTGGATTTTGGTTGGGCTTGAACTTTTATTTTACATTCCAAATAAAATGTAGGCTTTTTTGCCCAACCTGATAAAGCTCAAAGCCCAAATCAGGTCAGGAAGCTTGTTATGGGAGTTTGGAAACTGCCAGTCCTTTTTCGCACTGAAACATTGCTACAGTAATTTCTTTAGGGTTCTCTCGTGAGCATTGAATTTATGCAGTTTGTTTTTTTGTTTTTGGTTTCTCACCCATTTTCCAGATATTAGCAAAAGAAAGCAGGGCAAGATGTTGGGGATTTATATTACAAAGACAAACTCAAGGTTTGAAAATACAAGTCAAGTTTTAGAAAGTGAATTTGAAGCAATAAGGAAGCAAACCTGTCTTCTAGGTTCAAAGCGTATAGTCAATGTATGTACAAGAAAAGGGTCTAACAATTGATCATCTGGTTTCACTGGGCGGAATGATGAAAATGGTACTCTAACCTGTCATAGTAATACAAATAGGAAACATGAAGGTTATAACTTTGATTTATCATCAATGCCAACAACAATAAAATCTTTAAAGCAGGCTAGAGAGAATGGAGAAACCATAATTTTTTTCAAAAAAAAAAAAAAGATTCCTACCCTACAAAATCCCACTTTTGTACTAATTCTTGCAAAATACATTCTACTCTGGCTTGGATCCCCCAAAGGACCAGCTTCTAGAATTAATACATAAGATCTTCCATTGCCACCAACAGAGAGAACCAGACCCTCATACCTATCATTACAGATCAACTCATTATGCTTGAATGTATATAGAACATAATACTTTTAGCAAAAACAAATATACAAAACAATTTTGATGGTTATCCACAAAAGTCATTTATCTATTTCATACCTGTCAAGTGTACAACCTAATGGTAGAGAAAGCTTTTTTGACAGTTCTACATAGCCTCCTCTATTGAAGACATACCCTGAAATCAACATGGAAATACCGGGGTAAAAGAGAATAAGTAGACTTCTCAACTATAAACAAAAAATATCATACACAAGGTGGTATTGTTCATTAATATCCACCAGATATACCTGAGAAAACAGCATCTCCATTCTCAGTGAACTCAAATTTAGCATCCATCCCTCCATCATATTTTGTGGTAACTACATCTTGGAAGTAAGTCCCTTGACGAACTTCCCATCCATTCAATGAAGATGCAGATTTGAATTTGGCAATCAAGAGCTTACTTTTACTGCTTTTCCCAGCCCGCAACTGTGCCAGTTTATTATTGTGATCCTGAAATTTCAAGTCAAATTTAAGTTTTAACAAGCAGCATTTGGATTGATATGAATATGTAATGATGTATTATCTACATATAAAATTGAGGATGGATGGGATTTGTCTGGATTTTAACTTGGTAATTTTCTTCTTTTGACATGAAGGCAGGCATGCATACAGCTTTTTTTTCTTCTTTCCGTTGTCTTTTTATAAGTGTCTGTGTGGAGGGGAGCGGGGTTAGTTTGAAGTGTAGAGGCAGACCTGAAATGCTTTAGTTAGATTATAAACTCCTCGATGATCAACCCTGAAGAGATCACCGGTAATAGCAGAGCGTGCAGTGGCACAATATATTATTTTGTTGCAACCTTTTACAGCAGACTTGACAGTGGTGGGATCACCAACATCCCCAATCACTATCTCTACTGACCTTGGAAGCAGGTCTACCACCTCCTGATCTGCCCTCCTGACCAAAGCCTTTACAGCAGAAAAAAATCATGTAATATCTTTAGACTAATTTATGTTGAACAGCCATTCAAAGCAAATATTGAAGGTGTTAAGAAAATCAGTAACAGCTGCATTCCTAATCATTGCATTGTATAATATCCAATAACATCAGGAAAACATCCATCTGAACCAAAATCTCCGTCCACTATTTCCTATTGTATTCATTCAGTAACTAGTTATTCAGATTTACTTAATTTTGGATTGAAGTAATTAAAAGCTTTATACCGTCCATCCAATAAAAGTAATAGTGTAATCACCTATATTATATAAAAGCTTTTGAATAACAGAAGTTGTATCTATCAATTTTATACAGTCTTGCCGAGTCTGTTAAACCATTAAGGGTATATCTATCAGATTTAAAAGCAATGATAAAAGGCGCAGACACCTTCACGGCGTAACCCCTGAGCATGAGCTTACGAACAACGATGCGACCGATACGGCTGGTGGCACCAACAACCAGCACAGTAATATTCTGAGCGCCAGGGATTGCGAACTCGCACATGGGACCTTCGCGGACGAGAAGAGCATCAAGAGCCTCCGTATCATCAGTGCGGATTGTCCTAGAAATCTGACCCAATCCCGAGAACTTTCTCCAAACTTCATCGAATAACTGCCGCGATCTTCGACCTAGTCCCACAGGATTGACGTCGTCCAGGCTAAGCGACACGGATGGTGGTTGTAGCACACGCTGCTTTTGGGCCTCATGATTTTCATCGTCACCGACATTTTCGTTCTTGCTGTCCTTGCCTGTATCAGGAGCAGCAGCCCTTGGAGCTAGAAGCAACTGAGACTTCCGCCCCCATCCCCAAGAAGAGTTGCGTTGAGGAACGTCATTGAAGGACAGAAAATGATTGAGTTTTGAGAAAGAAAAGGAACCTCGAAGATCCGAGGAAGGTTTGCACTTGCAGTAAACAATGCTATTAGTCGTTGCTGACGCCGAGGAGTTCATGACTCGGCTGTTGCTGTTGAAAAACAAAGTCGCATATGTAGTAAAATGCAGTGTCGTGAATGTTTCCCAAAAGCCTTTGTAAGTGCCAGCAAAAACGCCAACGAGTTTTGGCTTTGCTGTGCTTCGAAACCAGAAAATGTGAGTGGCCCGTGTTTCTGTATTGGCAACTGGACTTCCATGATGCTCAAATGTGAAAAGGCAGACACGTAAAGAATAATTTCAACCACATAATTTTAGATTGCATCCAGGAAAATGGAGAACATGGTGCTTCCACGTAGGCGACTTGTTCTCTTCCGGGCTGGAACGAAGAAATTCTTGAATTCTAGCAATTCATCTGTCGTCGTTGTTTTAAAACTTCTTTAAAAAATTTTCTTCGATGCCTTTTTTATTTGGTATTTGAATTTTATTTTATTTTTATTAAATAATGTTTATTTTATTTTATTTTGTGTTTTCAACCTTGATATCCTTTATTAAATTAAAGATATGTATGGTTTGAATAAACTAAAATTTAAAATTATTATAATTTTAATTAATGCTATATTTATTAAATACTTTTAGTACTCTACAAAACCCAAAAGAAAAATACTAGCATTGCATAAAAGATTTCAAAATAGTTCTCCTGTAAATTTAATCAACGGTAAAGACAAATATAATTTTACAACTTTTACTCCCTGGACTCAAATTGATTCAATAATTTATATTCTAAAATGTGCTTTCGATTAATTTAAACTGAACCATGAACGATTCTTACTTTATACATCATATATTTACTAATAATTAAAGAAGATATATTTTCCTAATGGCTTAAAGAAATAGCCATTTAAAAAATTCACATAATAGCTTTCATAGCAATAAATCGTAGAATATCGAAGTGACAAGATATACTGCCAATAAAGGAAGCAGAACTAATAATGAATTACTGTATATGGCGAAGATTCTAAATTATTTACTTTTATCTTCAAATAGAGATTCTACAAAATGCACTGAACCTTAAAAAGGGCCAACCTAAAAACGACTTGATTTCATCCTCCCTCCCACAAAGAAATTTGATACCTAATTAGGACTATAGTACACCCGCCACCCAAGGATGGCATTTGACATAAAACAAGTAACTTGACAAAATGAAAGAATTACCAAATCGGCCCACAAAAACAGAAACACCACCTAATAACCTGCCGGACCTGGTTAGTCCGTGCAGAAGAGGGCCAGCATCACTGAATGCCTGAACTTAGATCTTCTCTGGACAATCACGTTGACATGGATAAGTGAACCTGCAAGGTTACATGTACCCTATGTATTCCATTCACAGAAACAATCACTGCTGTCGAATCATAGGTGAAACTAATGACTACCTCCTGTCTACAGCATTTCTCCAAAGCGCCACATATGTCATATTTACATGCACAAATTGCTCATCCAGCATTGTTGGCAACTTCTGCAGCTCTCTGCCTCATCATTTCCATTACAGCAGCTCTACGCCGCGAATCAGACTGTTGCTGCAACCTCCTTAAATGTTCTTTTAAATCTCTGATTCAACCACGAAAAGGCACAAAATTGTTAATACATCCAAAATCTGTATGATAAAGAGTAAACATGAGTATAATGGTAATGCCTGCTTCACGAACCTGCATCGTGGCACATGGCATTCAGATTCTTTGCAAGCACGAGCATGAAGTTGTAGCAAATACCACATTTTCTTGCAAAGAACACAACCTCCAGAAGCACGAGTTTTGCAGTGCATCCCATGACGGAAAAGCCCCTTCACCTTGCGACAATTTGGATATTGGCAATGTGCGGAACGACATTGGGATGCATGTACAAGGAGATCGAGCATTTTCCGTAGCTGTAATTACAGGATACATTTATATCAGTGCACAAAGAAGCATATAGACATTTTCACATTTTTACCTTTATATACATCTATAACAAATTGAATAATTAATGATGGAAATATTAGTGTGACCACACACTAAAATATGGGACTGGACTCAATAAATAATGTAATAACACAATAAAGAATTTGGGACTTCACTCTTTTAAGTGTGCAATATATTAGAATCATCATGTCATTGATATTTCCTTTTTTTGGGTCAATGTTTATTGAAAATCATCAAACATCTTCAAGAAAATTTTTAATTTTATGGTCAAATTCATTTAATTTACAGTTTTTATATGTTCTACTTGTTATACTAAATGAAAGAAACAACTCCTATTCATGCTCAAATTTCATCACATGTGAATATGGTGGTTTTATTTGACAGGTATTGTTCAAATCTTGTGTCTATCTCTCTCCCTTTCTAATGTCACGTCACAAGATTTCATGCATGAGCTTGTCATGTTAAAATTTGACATGAGAGGATCCATTCTCACAAGACAATTCACAGGAGCAAAACAAAATCCTATACAACACCTGCAATACTCGAAGTTGCCTTGCTTCTTTATTTTGAGCATCACGATCTACCATTGATGGATGATTTGTCAACTTATGAGGATGATCAACACTTCCTTCCTTTTGATAACAAGCATTGCACACATCATACTCAGGGCAAACTTCACAGCGCCAACCTTGACCAGTTTCTATGTCAAGATAGCATATATTACAAGTTGTAACAAACGCAGGAGCTGTTGGATTATGAAGATGATATAGAACCATCATTGAGGAATGCTTGGCCCGCCTTAGTGTATCATATTGGTAATGATTCCCCTGGCAGAGACTCAAAAATGCTTGTCTAGTGTCAAAGAATTCACTCTCAAGAATATCATCTTTGTCCTTCGTATCAGATGGCACATCAGTAATTTCAACCTGCAAGATGGATTTTAAAAAATTGCAAATTCAATTGTAATCAGTGCTATTGCCATAGATATCAATCTTGGATAGTAGTGCATAGCGGCCAACTCTAAAAACGCTATAGTGAATAGTGGGATAGCTGCTATTTTAAAATTTTTTATGAAGTATATAACTTCTAGTGTATATATAAATGGTAAAAAAATTCTAAAACAAATACTAAAATTCATGATATAGTAGTTAGGAAAAATTAAACAAGTTTAAGTCTCTAACTCAATGGCTTAAAGTAACAAAACATTAAAGACCAAATAAAACTAGAACTGAATAAGGAGAGAATTCAGACGAAAAAAAGAGAGAGAGAAAGATCAAAGAACAAAACAGCCAAAACCCAATAAAACAAAAAGATGAGGGGGAAAAAAGAGAAGTCAGTGAGAGAACAATTTGTGGGTAACAAAGGGTAAAACAAGAGCACAAAATGCAGAACAATGAGCAGAAAACAGTAGTTTGCCCAAAACACCAGAAACTGGCTGGAAAACACCAGGAGCTCACCACAAAGTCACCAGAGAGCAGTGGGTTGATGTGAGGGGTTACACAGTAATGAAGGGTCAGAGAGAAGAGGGTGCAAAACTGGAAAGAGGTACAATTGGTTTTTCAAAATCCATTTAAAGCCTTTTTTTATTTTGGCCCAAAATACCCCCATACATGGTTCTGCAACATTAAAATTTAGGGCACTTTTGGGTTTTAAAAGAATTTGACAGTAGTGGCCAAGACACGTGAAAAGCCACAATTTCCACCACTATATCCACAACAGCCACAAGAAGAGCAACACGGTGAGCCAAGGTAGTTAAAATCCCGATTTGAATCTTAAAATCTTACGATTTTACGATTTTGGAAGTCTCGCCGATTTAAATCGTGGATAAAATCCTAATTGAGTAAAATCTTTGTAAAATCCCGATTTGAATCATAAAATCCCTCAAATTGTGAGATTTTACGATTTCACTTCGATTTTGAAAATTTCTAGCAAAGTCTATTTTGTTGAACCCTATCGTACGCCTCTTTCATATATCTCCTTTTTATGGAATCTAATTTGCCTCTAGCAGCTTTAAACCCTAACATTGTTGTCAACATTCAACAGTCCTCCTAGTGCGTGCAACCTGGTCTGCAACTAAATTTATTGTTGTTGTTCTTGCATCTTTTCTATTCTGGTCTATTTTTTATTCATGTAAATGCATTACATTCTTATGGAATAAATTATGATTTGTAAGTACTACGTTGTTTAAATACTTTTACTGATTTGAAGCTTTTTTCCCTTAATTTATGATATTTTATATGAATAATATGAATTTATATCATATATATGAATTTTATAAAATCTTACGATTCAATTTACGATTTTACGATTTACGATTTTCACTCTCCTTTACGATTTAAAGTAAAATCCCGATTTTAACTACCTTGCGGTGAGCTTGAAATAGCAGCTGGCAGGCCACAGCAATGCAATGTGAGATTGCTGCAGCAGCGCTATTGTGTGCTTTTCACAACCGAGGCTATTGCATGATCATGTGGGTGTAGTTGAATAGCTTATTTTGCTTTTGGAAAAGCCAAAAGTAAAAATGCTTGAGAAAGACATATTGGTTAAAAATTAGAACTACATAATTTGTTTTTTTAACTTAGTTCTTCATAGCAGGAATTAGGCAGACACTAAGATGATCAACAGTAAAGGGCTAATACCTCATACAAAAGTACAGAAGAGATGAAATAGTACAGAAGCACTCATTGTATATCAAAATTAAAGCTACTTACCTGATAAAGAGTATGTATCTCCCTCTGATTAATAGGATGCCTTTCTCTCTCTTCTCGTTTGAGTTCTGCTTCATAACACCTAAGAGAAGGCAAGACAGATGAGTGTGATTAGCAAAATTGATTCATTGAGTTTGGAAGCATTCAGTTAGCAAGGGATAAAAGAGATGGATCATAAAAAGGGATGTTAACAATCAATACTAATAAAATCATAAGACTAATATGATGTCAAGATACAAAAAAAATTCAGTTCTGAGCCAAAGACCCAGTTAGAATAAACTTCTTGATACACACCGATAGGAGAAGAAAATAAAATAATTTAAAGAAGTAAAATGAATTAAACTTCTTACATAAGCTAAAATAAACTTATGCACTACAACTTATAAGGACTTTTTTGTAAGTAAAGAATAAAATATTTGTCTCAGAAAAATCGGTCATAAGCTAAAAGCTAATCCAAACTTGGCCAATATCCTCAACAGTCTACTAGTTTCAAAATTTTGTTCAAATCTGAAGTAAAACTTCTTTTTATAATAGAAGTGTGTTATGAATGATGGGTGGCAGCAAGCTATAAATTATCCATGTCATTATGGCGGATAGTGTTGTAGAAAG